GTATTTTCCCAATTGGCAAATTTCCAAATGAGCAATTTCCCAAGCGGCAACTTCCCAAGGTTATCCTAGCCGCGGCGCTCGGCTTCTTATTCAATCCTAGCAGCAGCGCTCGGCCCCCCATCGCAGCCTGCGGCGCTTCAAAGGGCCAAACCTAACCTCTCGGAAGTTGTTGCTTGGGAAATTGCTCATTTGGACAGTTGCCACTTGGAAAATTGTCACTTGGGAAGTTGCCCTTGGGAAAATACCATTGGGAAAGTACCTAACACATCTTTTTTGACACTAACATCGATATTTTTACTTTACAAGAATAGTAATTGCAAGGATTTTTTGTAAATATTTTTATTTTTTAATGCATTAAAGTGTAGGGTACAGGGTGGTAAAAAATTGGACCGTGCTAAAGAAATCTAAAATAGTCCATTACTTTTTGTGACGAAAGCTACAGGTCTAAAAACTACATTTTTGAAAACGACCCCTAACGACCGTTTTTTTAATCAAAACAAGAGGTTTGTTTTCAAAAACGATCTTTTTCAGAAAAAAATTTAAAACGAAACGAGAGACGATCGTTTTTATGATCGTTTTTAAAAACAATTTACAAATCTCAATGGGCCCACATAAGTATAGTGGGTGTTTGGAATTTGTAGGTTAGTTTGTGTCTGTTAGCTAACAGTTTAGTAGGTTTTTCTTGTTGAAGCTGTTTTGGTTGAGGTTTGGAAAACGTTATGCTAAGTTGGGTTTTGTAAGCTGTTTGTTTGGAGCTGCTTAATTATTTTAGACGTAGAAGCTGTTAGTTTGTAGTAGATCTGGGAGTTTGGGAGTTATCATTATGTTTTAACTTTTTTTCTGAGGCTCAATTGTTAAAAAAAAATATTTCTTTGGTGTATTTTGATTAAATGGTTCAGGCAAGTTTATTCCTATAAGAACGTCACCCCAGTCTAAAAGTTGAATGATCCGTGCCGGTACAACACGTACTGTATATGCAGTCCTTCGTACTGTCCAGTCAGGCTACCCAGTGTAGAGTCGACCCAGCACGTTTTATGCAAGAAATGTAGCCTGGCGAGATCACAGTGGACCCGGATATACGTAGATAATGTGAGTTATGTATGAAATGTGTTGGATTACAAATGCACTGACTATTTAACTATAAATCATCTAAGTCACTATAAATGTGCTGGGGATCGTTAAACGTATTTTTATGGTAACTTAAATCACATTGGCAATTCTATAAACTTTACAATCTTTAATGAACTTTCTAAAATTATGTTAAAACTCAGACAAAAACAGAAATAATTGTCAAAAATGTTAAAGTTTAGTTTCAGAAACATTCTGTTTCAGTCACTGTAAACATTCTGTTTCAGTCACTGTAAACATTCTGTTTCAGTCACTGTAAACATTCTGTTTCAGTCACTGTAAACATTTTGTTTCAGTCACTGTAAACATTCTGTTTCAGTCACTGTAAACATTTAGTTTCAGTCACTGTAAACATTTTGTTTCAGTCACTGTAAACATTTTGTTTCAGTCACCGTAAACATTCTGTTTCAGTCACTGTAAACATTTTGTTTCAGTCACTGTAAACATTCTGTTTCAGTCACTGTAAACATCCTGTTTCAGTCACTGTAAACATTCTGTTTCAGTCACTGTAAACAATCTGTTTCAGTCACTGTAACTCCGGTTCAACTACTAGGCCAGCTTTTCACATGATAGAGTAGGCTGAACAATGCACCTACAGACAATATACGAAAAACTGAACGGTACGCCAAATGGACAGTTTTATAATAGAGAAATATATGTGAGCTGTTAAGTTTATTCTGATTATTAGATACTTTTCATTTTCCGTTTATTCACGTAATTTTAATTCACACTTTTTATAGAGCGGCATGTCCAATTCACATTTGTACCTCAAGTTGGTCAAAAATGACTAAGATAATTTTTTTTTTTTTTTACTGAACATTTATTGTTATGCTGCAAAGACAATGAAAGAAATTGTCAGCATTAAAAAAGACGATATCTTGTTCATTAGATAAACTTTAAAGAATACCGCAGTGAATTAGGGAAAGCCACTGTATGAACATGGAAAACTTCTTAGAAAAAATCATTTTAAAAAAATATTTACGTTGAATTTCAAGCTTTTTCTTGATTCCAGAGAAAAACTTATCTAGAAAAATTCGAGGCTAAAACAGAAATTTCTTGAAGGAATTGAATTAAAGAAATGTTATTATACTATCAACCTTAAACTCAGACCTGGAAACTCTATTAGAATAAAAACAAACTAAAATCCTCGAATGAAAATATGAGACTATTTTGTTTAAACTTTTTTTAACTAAAAGTAATAAAATTACTTTTTTTATTATGCAAAGGGCAGCATTTAAAAAAATAAACGAAGAAAAAATTTAGAAGTTGAATTAGAAAATTATTTAAAGTTTTCATTTCGAAGTTTCCTTCTGCTCTCACAACTTTTTGACAGTGCTCTGGAGGTTAAAAAACAGATTAAAAAAACATCCTCACTCACTGAAACCTAAGGGTGAAACTTGTTGGCACTTTTTTATAACAAATACTCAAATCGACGATTTACAAACTCATTCAAAATTAGTTTTTTTTGTTCAAATTAAATCACTAATATAACCCAGAAAAAAATCGTCAAAATTATTTTAATAATTGGACATTTCGATAAAAATAGTTTACCTTTGATATAACCTTAAAAATTTCGGGTTTTCTGCAGATATGTTTGAAATTCTATCTTTAGTTTTCATGATTTTATATCACCTAAAGTTAACACTGACATATTTTGACGCTCTGTCTACTCTATTCAAACGTTTTTTTTATGCTTTTCTAAATTGATATATCATTCTTACATTCCCCCCCCCCCCCAACTATTGGTTCACAAACGATCTGGTGCAAACTGGAAAGATGAAGAATGTCGAGTTCAAACGAATTTAATGGTTTGACTTTGTGACCTCGTAGCGCATCTAATTTTAATTCAAGAAACAAATTAGAAATTCAAACATTTTTGTTCTTCTCAAGAGCTATTCCTAGCTATTCTTCAAAAACAAGAAGATATTTTCAATTTCAATTTATAATGCAAACCTAGTTATATATATAGGTTTATATAACCTAGTTATGATTGAAAAAATATAAGATACTAAAATTAAGTGAAACTTCCATGAAATAATGTAAAATATAATCTAATGGTGGTTATTAGAACCCAGAGAACAGTTAAGAAAGAAATGAAAAAAAAACTAAATGTTTCTCATTTTTAGAAAAAAATCACGTTTCAAATAATAATTCATTATTTAAAATCAATTTTCAAATCTAATCAATGTGAATTATTTATTGAAAATTGGATTGGAATATAATTTTTTAGGCAAATGTTTTTTTTTAAAACTAAACAGATTAACAGTTTTTGAAAAAAAATTATGGTTGAAAACGAAACGAATGGGTTTTTAAAAATCGGCAACTTTAGTTCTTTTTTTTCGGTAAAAATTGCATAAAACTTGCAAAAAAACGAATTTAGATGTATTTTAATGTTATTTAATGTCGTATTCACCCCCCCCCCCCTTATTAATAATGGATAGATAAAGTTTCTTTTATTTTGCAATTTGGTGATGGCTTGCGCCGTAAATCCAACTAGATAAACTGTTTTCGATTATTTTACGGAATTTTGGAGTTTTGGCAAACCGTTAACACAATTAATACTGCAAAAAAACCGCTAACGGCTTGCATCGTTAACGATTTGACAAAACGTTAACAAAAATCATTCATAACATTAATAAAATTGAGATCGTTAACTAACGGCGACTTAAAAAAACGAAAAATACTGTTAACGAAACGAATGTTCGGTTATTACCTTAAAACTAACGGCTACTTGATTTATTTCTTTTTTAACGGTTGGAACTAACCGCTAATGAAACGGCTAGAAAAAAGTTGGAAGGTGCTCAGTTCTAGGCTTAAATACGATATTACTGGTTCAACTTTGTGAACCGTATAGCTCCTGTCCTTTTGATCTTATATAAAAAATAAAACTCATATGACTACATGATAAATCTTTAGAAATAAAAACCGCCAAACAATTACAGTTTACACATCTTTTCAATTTTCCGTTATTTTTTCGTTTTTTACAGTATGAATGTTTTTCCAATAGGATATTTGTGTGTTCAATCTTATGCAAAAGTTACATTTTTGTTAAAATAATGAGATGATAACATTTTTATTTCACACCCGACCATCTGGGTGTTCTTCATATCAACAGCTTATAGTTCCAGTTTTTAAATCTTAAATAACTTTCTTTTATATTTTACCAATATTTTCAATATTTTATTTTTCTGTCAAGTGATGGAAATCATTCATCCATGTATTTATTGGGTCAATAAAAAAAATCTTTAACCATAAGATTTTTTTTGTTTGATTCATTATCAAAGAAGAAAGAATTTTTTTTTATAAAGAAAGATTTTAAATGTTGAGGTATAAAAGAGATAGGATAGATTGATAATATATACAGATTGCATGAGGTGATTGTTTACTAACTAGAAAGGCTGGTTCCCTAAGTTTGGTTGAAACTACTCCCCGCTGCTCCAGGGTGTCCAACATAATATTAGNGAAGGGAAGGTGAGATGGAGGAAGGTGGGAAATTATGATGATTTAAAAGGGGGGAGGGATGTATAAGGAAGGGAAGGTGGGATGGAGGAAGGTGGGAAAGTATGATGATTTAAAAGGGGGGAGGGATGTATAAGAAAGGGAAGATAAAATTAAAATGTTTAAGGTTTGTTACGGAAGGAGAGATGGAGGAACATTTAAATTAAAGAAATAGAAATAAAAGGGTAATCAGAGCATTAACAAAGCACAAAAGATAAAACAAAGAAATTTGCAAATTTGATTTTGCAAGTTTCAATCTTGCTGATGGCCATTGAAGCATAAATATGCACACACAGACACAGGTATATATCTCTCAGGTACTTAAAGACACGTAGATAATTTTGTTTCACTTCAGTTACTCAGTTTAACCCTTATTCTATGGAACCATGAAGAATTTAATTGTGATCAGTTTACTCAATGTTTTAGTTCAAACTCAGAAAATTCACGAAAAAGAAATTAAAAATGGCGCGGGAGAAAATGCGGGAGAAATTTCTAAACTAAATGATCCTGATGGTTTTTGCAGTAAAGAACAAGAAAACTGCAGAGTATCTTCTGGCGAAAAGGAAATTGTATTTTCAAATACGCAATTTTTAAACCAAATAGTTACAATATATATAAAAAGACTTTTAAATAATATTCAAAAACAATTTAACAGTTTTGGAGTAATGAAATGGGAGTGTTTTACGATGAATTCCCGTTTCCAACATTCTCTGACGAAAATTTGGAAGAGGTAACTTTGCGGGAATTCGATTGGATTTTCGATAAGTGTGGACTGTGGTAGTATAATTATTAAGCAATCTGAATAAATATGTTTTAACTCTGTGTTGAGATTGATTACAATAAAACCAAAATGGCGACTAAGATTGCAACATTTACTAATTATGAAATCTTTTGGGGCTTTTTTTCTTAAAGAAAGTACAAAGACAACATTGAGTCTAAAACTGTCTGGTTCGTATATTGTACACTTGATACATACAGAAATTAAATATTTGCCACAAACTCAATTTTTCTATTCCCTATATCTTTGCAATCAGTTCGTGTAAACCTTTATTATTTCAAACTTAGCTTATTCGAGCTTAAAGAATTCATAGTTTGAAATATTGCAAACCACAACATTAGATTTAACAAAATAGTGTCTAGAAAATCAGCGATTGTGACAAAAATTTAATTCCTAATTAATCTCTGCCTTCAAAAAATTGTAAACCATCAAACCAATTAAACCCACTGGAAATCTCTTTTTTTTAGGAAAGAAAGTTCAAATTTTCATTAACATGCATTTATACACTTTTCCTTTTTCCAAAATAAATAAAATCTCCTGATATTGCCGGTAGATATATTAATAACAAAATAGATAGATTTGGGGATTTTTCATTCACAATAACACTGAGGCAGAAATGTCTTGTAATTCTACGCGGCATGCGCGTAACTCCTTTGGGCGGTTGCCTCAGGATTATAGTAAAAAAAAACCACATAAATCTTGAAAACACGACATCTAGTGTACTATCTGTATTGTTATAAATCTATGGCTGGGAGAAACAAATGACACAAGTTCTAAGATAAATGTCTGCATGTTAAAGAGAGACGTCTTACAAATGAAAAATAATTTTATAAATGTTCCTTGGTCTGGCATTTTGATGGAATGATGTACATTTACACCTAGACCGCATCATATTAAACCATTTTCAGAGATGGTAACTATAGGATGGAGCATGTCGAGTAAACCGAGTTTGGGAAAACCGTAACTTAAAGGATTGAGCATGTCGAGTTTAAAACCGAGTTTGGAAAACCGTAACTTATGTACGGAGCACGTCGAGTAAAACCGAGTTTGGAATACCGTTACTTATGTACTTCTTTCTCTAAAAGTAAAAAAATCTTAAAAATATAGAATATAGAATATAAATATAAATTATAAAATATAAAATATAAAATATAAAATATAAAACCGTAATCTCTGGTTGTTAATTTGGATATCCGATCATAACTCATGAATACTTCAAACAAATTTGCCTCAAATTTTGATTTGTTAACTCAGTACTCAGCCTGGTTTAAACATTCCAAGTTGAGTGGGTTGACCTGTATAAGGAAAAAGTCCTGGCAAAGCTGGGCTTCCAAGCAGATGTTTTCAAGCTAGATTTACAATTTTGAAAAAGATCAAACGTTTCAATTTCCTTTATTGTGGCATCGGCATGATGGAAATTTTCAGTCTACAATTTTAAATTTGGAAATATTTGAAATGAATTTGCTCCATTTCACGCAAAAACATTTGATAGTTTTTAATAGGGGTATTGAAGTTAAAATATATATCTTTTATTTTTTGAAATGAAGACGATATTCGTGGCTTAATATATATTTTCATTTTCTATAAATACTTCATCTAAAAGCTTATTTTACAAAATATTTCTGACCAGTACTCAGCAGGTTTATATACACTTCTTTTATTTATTTATTTACATTATGGGAAAAGAATATTGAGCAGTGTGCCACACTACATGGCCGGGTATTACCTGCAGGACCTTATCTTATGTCACGCTTGAAATCTTGCACTCTGTTAGCCGTTAACATTCTGTTTACCGGTAAAATTTCGATAACCGTCAGCATTTCGTTAACCACTAACATTTCATTGACCGTTAATATTTTGTTGACCATTAACATTCTATTAACGGTTAGCATTTCGTTAACCGTTATCATTCCATTAATCGTTACAATTCCATTAAATTTAAACATTCAATTAACCGTTAACATTAACCATTAATTGTTAATATTCTGTTAACTGTTAACATTCTGTTAACAGTTAAAATTCTTTTAAGAGTTAATATTTTGTTAACATTTAACATTCTGTTAACCATTAACTTTCTGTTAATTGTTAACATTCTGCTAACTGTTAGCATTCCGTGGAACGTTAGCATTTCGTTAACTATTCCATTAACCGTTAACATTCCAGTAAACAATAACGCATAAAATTTGAGAACTATTAAAAATGGCTACCTTTAGAGTAATAGTTAAAGCAAAAATTGTCAAATAGAATAAGGTGCATAAAGAGCCCTAGTGGCCTATAGTAAGATAATATTATTAGTTGGCAAAGAAAATGAGTCTTTGCCACAAGCTTACATTTTCTAATCCATATATCTTTGCAACTTCATGGTGTAAACGTCTTTAGTAAGGTCGATTAAATCTTAAACCTGAAAGAAAACATGAAAAGACTGACGGGTGTTATTTTATATTGGGAATGTAACGGTTTAAAGGATTGCAACTTTGCAAGTGTAATTTCAAGTAACCCTCCATGCAAAAAATATCAATACTCGATTTAAATGGTACCCTTGAAACCATTATCTGATTGATAATATTGAGGTTTAAAATTATTTATTCTCAGCCTTTTGTTTTCATACATATACAAATCAATTTTGTTTAGAAAACAGTATTTCTTATTAATACCTGTTCAGGCAAAGCTTTAAAAGGTACCGTTGTATGGAAATCCGGCAATGTCATTTTTGCATGGTGGGTTACTTGAAATTAAGCTTACAGTTCCTTTCAGATATTCGATTAACGATGTGGGATTCTAGTTCTTTAAAAAGTCCTACTTTTCAGTGTAATTATTGAATAATTAAACTATTGCTTTATTTATGACTGGCGTTTAAAGGTTTCATGACCAATCCATTTATTACACTTTCTTACTATTTTCTATACTACACTTTTTTAGTAAGATATTGATTATGGTTTATAGTTTTTAGCTCAAGAATATTGCTTAATATATATATACATTATTGATAATAAATGTATTGACAAAATATTTTTTCAGGGTCAAATTATTAAAAATACAACCTCTACCAACACATTCCAGACATGTTATTGAGTGTATGATTGATAGATATACCTTGGATATTTATAGAAAAAGAGTATACATTGTAACAGAGCACAACCATGTATCCATATATGGATGAAACATGATATTGTCATTATGAGAGATTTCATTAAATACTAGCTCTCTGCGTGACTACATTTATGCATTTCGGTTGAAACTGGGTTTTCCTCTGTTTTCCTTAGAACTCTCTGGTCTTAAAAAAAACATGATCATGTCAGTGAAACATCTTAGGAAATCTCATACATTTAAAAATATGATCATGTCAGTAGAACAACTGTTTTCTTCGGAGCTCTTTTTTTTAATATGATCATCTTAGTTAAAACTCTGTTTTCCTCAGAACTCTCTGCTTTGTTAATATAATATGTCACTGCCAACTCTGTGTTACATGAGTACGCTATGTTATCTATATTTAAGCATGAGAAAGCGGGAATGTAATCGATGGTTTTATTGGAATAAAGAATTACCCAAGGGTTGAATTGAATTGTAAATACAGTGTGTCCCAAAAAACTAAAGCTTTTTATCAATAAGATATTGTAATAATGCTTGTGTTCAATTACAAGCCAGATGTAAATCCTAGAGAGTTTCGAACCCATGGTTCCGGGCTTAAGCAAATATTTCACTCTAGATCGCCGTACTCTATTTTTAGTACCGATCCCTTTAAAAACCTCTTTGTACATATCTCACAGAGTATAAATGAATTGGGATTGATCAGTTTCATAGTTTATTTATTAAATACATCTGTAACGTTTATTCATGTTTAATAAGTTCCTTTAGATATTCAGCTGCTACAGTTTAGGATCTGTCCGAGCAGCTTCCTCTATTACTCTCTTGTTTAGCTGCTCCAGTTCAGTATCTATCTAGGCAGCTTTTCCAACTCGATATCTCATTACAGTTCAGTAGCTCTTACAATGCAATCTGAGCTGCTACTCTATCTGTTTTCTGAGTCTCCACAACATTCCGGAGCTGCTTCTAGAGTTACTGCTATTTTAGCTGTGCATTACCGGAGCTTCTCCTAGAGTCTCAGCTATGTTAGCTTACAGATTGAGCTACTCCCAGAGCTATTCTCAGAGTCTCATCTATGTTAGCCTTACTCACAGTTCGAGCTGCTCCTAGAGTCTCTACAATGTTATAATTATTGCAATCATCATTCTTATCATCATTCTTATCATCATTGTTATTTTCCTTGTTATAATCATTGTTATCATCATTGTTATCTTCATTGCTATCCTCATTGCTATCCTCATTGTTATCATCATTGTTATCATCATTGTTATCTTCATTGCTATCCTCATTGTTATCATCATTGTTATCATCATTGTTATCTTCATTGCCATCCTCATTGTTATCATCATTGTTATCTTCATTGCTATCCTCATTATCCTCATTGGTATCATCATTGTTATCATCATTTTTATCTTCATTGCTATCTTCATTTCTATCCTCATTGTTATCCTCATTAGATCTGAGAAGAGCTGTCTTGGGCAACAATTTCATCTTTAATCATCCCTGACTCCTGTGATTTGGACTCGATTCAGCTGGTTGAGGTTTATTCTACAGACAAACAAGCACCCAGACATAGCAAAGTAGATAAATGTATATTTATATATATGTATATAGTTATAGTTGGTTAGATTTCAATTAAAAAGATTATCTAGATATTCTAAAATTAATCGAAAACATCTTTGAAAAGTATGATGGGTTAAAAATATTATAGTTTTAAGGTTTTTTGCACGAAATTACGCAATTGCCAAAATATTTTCTCATGAAACTGTGTTTTTATTGACAATTGTATCTAAACAAATAAGAAAAATACTTTTTCTTTGCATGATAAAAACTTTATTAAATTTTTTAATGTTAATATGTTTTTCAGGAGCTGAAGTATAACAACCGTGAGCCTCTTGAAGAATTTGCTCATCTATCCCTTGATGTCATCAACCATTATCTTTTCAAGGTATATGCAAGGTATATGCAAGGTATATGCAAGGTATATGCAAGGTATATGCAAGGTATATGCAAGGTATATGCAAGGTTTATGCAAGGTATATGCAAGGCCTGCACAGTGTTCATTATTTGTTTTAGGATTTCAAGGAATTGAGTTTTTTTCCAGAAAATTTATACTTTCTAAAATCTATATCTTTGCAACCGGTCTGATTGGGTAAACCTTTGATTTGTCAAACTTACATCACTTGATCAGACAGTTAAATTACAGCTTAAAAAATATATGATCATAGGTCTGAAGTAAAGGGATTAAAAAGTCAAAGTTCGTTGCAAAAATTCAGTTTGGAATTTGCTGCTGTTTTGAAAATGTGTTTGTTGACAAGGTTTTTTTGCCAAACTCTAAATAATTCATAACTTTAATTTTTAAGGGGCGTGGAAACTTTAGTTCTGAGTTTCGTGTGCTGGTTGTCGGAGCAGGAACCGGTTCTACTGGTCTCTACCTGGCAGAACAGCTGACTCAAACAAATGCACAGGTAAAACTATTTTTATAATTGGGAAGGTGTTGCTTCCTTCAACCCCACTTTGACCTCCTCCCGGACCACCCTGACCAGGAAGAGTTTGAGCACCAGAATTAATAAATTGCGAGAACCACATATTTTTTAATGAACTTTGAATTTGAGGTTAAGGTTTAAGTCCCTGAGCATATGTTGAGAGATATAGTTGAACCAGTGGTAGGAAGTTCAGCCAACTTTTTCCAATTCCAGGAATGACTATTTAACACTTAAAAGTTAAGGGTTTAAAATTGTTAATAGTTTGCATTTTATCGATAGGTCAGACAGTTCACGAATGATTTCTTAATCGTTCGTTAGAATAAACTTGAAAACAACTATCAGGTTTTGATTAAGAAACACTTTTTTCACAAAATTTAAAAAGACAATTGTAAATAGAAAGAAAATGATAGAATGATTCTGAAAACAAATGAATTTTTACTGAATGACTGAATATGACTGGTTAACAAACAATGAATGAATGAATTGAAAAATTTCCAAAAAATTAAATTTCTATGGACTTCATAATATTTTGGATTTTGTATTTTCAGTGACAAAAAAATCAGTCATTGTATTGTTTTTTGTATTTGGCTTAAATATGTGTTCTTATTACACTGTGAAAAATATTTAAGTCAACAGAAGAAAATAATTTTTGATTTTTAATTTTGAAATATTAGGAACATCCTATGATATGAAACAGTTTAAAGAAACAAAACATTGATATACAATTTAAATTTTATCAGAAAAAACTTTAAGGGTACCGTTGTAAATCAGGCATTGCCATCTTTGCATAGAGGGTCACTTAAATAGTAGTTTAAGTGACCCTCTATGCAAAGTGGCAATGCCTGATTTACAATGGTATTTTTTATATCTTAATTTAAAAAAAATGTAGAAGATACTATCGTTTTTTCTGACTTTAATAAGCTTTCAAGCTGGTACCATTGAAAATCGGGCTTTGTTATCTTTCCTGGGCCGCTTGAAATTACGTATACAGTCCCTTTAAGGCAAGGTTATGATGCAAGGAAAGCTTTTTAGGAGGTGTACGCATCTTTTGTACTACGTAGTGTGCTGTCTCTGGGCGGTAAAGTAAACACAAGACGGATGTCGAAGCCTGACATGGGATCCATCTTTCACATAAAAATCAATGAAATATTCTGGTCATTGGAAACTATTATGTAAATTATCAATATTATCAAAATTCAATGCTTTTAACCTCCTCGGATGCTAAACGAAAAGAGAGAACTGGTTTAAATATGTACGCAGAATATACGCAACTGCAATTAACTTTCCTTGCAATATAACCTTGCTATAAGGGCACCTTCAGTCAAGAACAAATTTCTTAAGGAATAAATTCAAAATCACCATGAGGAGAAACATCTTCAATCTTCATGTCAAGGAAAAGTTAAACTTAATATGACATCATCTATGATAGAGATATGGAACCCGTGTAAATAGTATTTCATTTTATTAAGAACAAGAATTCAAGAAACAAAGAAATCAAAATTTCTAAAAATTCTGATATCTTCGTTTTCGGATCAAGGAATAATTATTGTCTTCAAACAGTAAATCTTATAATTAAATCATCTTTTTTCCTATTATGTTTTCATCTGTTCGTATATAAAAATTCTGTTTTCGGGTTGAATTTTATCTTAATTTTAGTAATTTTTTATTGATTTGATGGTTATTACAAAATTAGAATGGTCCTAAAAAGACTAAAATATATTATTCTAAAAGTGTTGATCAATCGTGGGTAGGACCAACATTAAAGCAAAATGTTTAATATAAAACCTTTAACTTTTTCTCTTCTGAAAACTTAATATCCAGGCCTGAGATATTTGGTGAGACTGTATTCTATAGATTCTATTAGGAGGTGATGGATTATCAGTGGAGCGTATACATTCAGTATTCCCAACTGGGAACTAGGGGGTGACCACTGTGTTAGAAGAAACATTCTCTTAGTAATAACCAACTTACCAAAACAATTAGAAATCAAAAACTAGGAGACGGGCACGCAAAGTTTTTGCCACAAAATCAAATCTTCTGATGCCAATATCTTTGCAACCTGATGCTGCAAACCTTTGATATTTCAAACTTAGATTATTTTATCTATAAGTATTAATAATTTGAAATATTTAAGGTCTACGACATTGGGTTAAAAAGATATAGAGATTAGAAAATCATAGTTTGTGACAAGGACTCAATACCTTTCCATTCTTTAATCTTATAGATTATATAATTTATTTATTTAGATTGTAATCTTGGAGGTGAGCAAAAAATCTATGGAAATTGCCAAGGAACCTTCAGTTTTTATTCTTTGATATACTTATTTTTTTGCTATTCCAATTTTTCTTCATTTTTCAATTTTCGTATCTTTGGAGGGATTTAGTTCAACAATCTAAAAGTACGAAAATTAAGTTGTTTTCAACAGGAATATTTTTAACCTTGTTTTGGTTAAAACGAAAACATTCTTTGAAAAAAACTTCAAATGTAATTCCATGCAAATTAAAAATAAATTTGACAAAGAAAACCCTAAACCTATGGAAAAGATTCAAAAATTGCAATGCCTATAGAAGAGAGCCCAAATTCGTGGATTAAAAAATATTCAGTGGATTCATGGCAGCGTAGAGTCTTTATCAGACATTGCTCAAACAGGTACAGGGGTGTCCAACTAAATGTGGGGGGGGGGGTTAATGGTATCTTCTTTGCTTACTATTCCTTTCAACAAATTTACGAATACTGGATTTGATTTTCATGTTTATTGGGACACCCTGTAGCCGGGGGGTGCTCTACCTAATCCTGTAGAGAAGCGAAATTCACCAAACTCTGAACAAATCCTCAAAACATAAACAAAACTAAAGACAAAAAAAGGCAAAATATAAACACGAACAAGAATTGTAAACAAACAAGAAAAATATCAAAGGAATTTCAATTCTAAACTTTCGAAGAAAAAGTACAATTCATTTTTGTTATTTTTATTATTTTCGTTTTAAAAATCATAAAAAAAATCTTCACTTTGTAAATCTAATGCATTAAATGGAACTAAAAACATTTTTGGTTTTTACTGTGAAAATTGTTTTATGTTTTGGGTTATCCAGTCCAACAGTGGTTCAGAGATAATTCTGCAAATTCTGCCACTCCCAAATTTATAATAATAGTTCAGTAATAAAACAAACATTGTTTATAAAAATTACCCAATTAAAACTTTTATATCTAGTAAAGTATTTTTTCTTTCTAGGGTTGTTCGACTTTATCGAGTGCCGCCATGTTCTAGACCACGTGGTAGATCCAACATCTGTTTTATCCAAGATGGCGGGAATTCTGAAACCAAATGGTGGAATAAGTTTATCAATCAACGGAGGGTGTGTATTATTTATTATTAAAAAATATTAAATATTAAATCTAAATATCTAGAGTTGGTAGGGGTGGTCTGATCCACGTACAGAATATGGTTCAAATATTAACAAAAAATGAAAAAACGAGGTGAGGAATCTATCTTTATATATTTAGTTGTAAACTCTGATTGGGTGGGTGTATGTTTGTTTGTCCGATCATAACTCGAATTAAACCCCTGGACCGATTTTTCTCAAATTTTAATTGGGGAACTCGGAAGAGCCACGGGGAGGTTCTTAGTTTGGTTTTTAGATTATTAGTTGAGTGGGTCTACTTTTATTGGGAACAATAGCTAAAATCGAAATTTACGACAAAGCGCGAGTAAACAGCGGGAATAACGCTTGGTTCCCAAGCTAGTATATATATAAAACTGTAATCTCTGTTTGTCTGTTTGTTAGTTTGTCCGATCATAACTTAGGAACACCTGGACCGATTTGTATTGACAATCTAAGTTGAGTACGGACCGAATATTATTTCAAAATAGTTTCCCTAAGAAATCGACCAAGTGCGGGTAAACGGTAGGATTAATGAGTACAGAGTAACCTGGCTATGTTAATGAGATGATGTAAAATTCAGTAATTCATTAATTTACTCCAACACTAATTTGAAGAAGTTTTGCAACAAACTCTTATTTTTGAAATTTATGTGATAGACCTAATTGTATTATATTAGATCAAATAGTCTATGAGCTTGAATAATCAAAATTTGCACCATCAGGTTGAATAGATATAGGGATTATACAATTTGAGTTTGTGGTAAAGCTGGACGATTATCTTCCATGCTATTCCAGTAAACCAGGAAATTTATAAAGCTAGTAAAAATACCAATCTGATTATCATATCAATTTTTTTACAGTGCTGGGAAAATAGCCGCGGTAAAAGAAGTGTTGAAGGTGGTTCCTCCACAGAACTGGTTTCATAGATACAAGGCTATTAATCCTACAGGTCACATCTATAGTAGCAGGTACACGTCACTATAGTTTCAGTAGAAGTAAATATTTCCATTTACTGTTTAGCGCCGATAGGATTTATCTCTAATTGGATAATGAGCTAGATAGAAAGATAGATGTTACCGCCATGCAATTTCTATTGGTTCAGTATAAACACCAAACACATGCCTGAACCCTGACTGGATCAGGCGCTAATGGACCCGGCATACTAGAGTGACACAGTAATAACAAGAAAACTATAGAATAGGAAGACGACATTAAAGAAACACTGTAGTGCATTTGATGTTGTTTTTTAAATCCCTTGAATCACTTATTTAGATAAATGGATCTGTTTAATAGTGCACAATGTGCCTCATGTTCATTGGACTATTTAAAGTCAAAACTTTAGTCTAATATTCAACTTCCTATTCAAAAGGTTCCTGGATATCACTGTACTATTGACAAAACAATATACTTTTCATCAACTGGATGAGAGATGCCAACCTGAGATGAAAACTTAAGAATTGTGGATATTGAGATAAATGCTTGATCTTCACTTTTCATTAATCTTAAGATTAATTTTATCTTACATTAATATCCGGGAAAGTACAGGGTGTCCCACGAAACATGACAGTTTCGAATAGTTTTGAATGTCTTCTTCCATACATTAAATTAGATATTAAAGACGTTTTGCATGTCATTTCGTTAAAAACATCTTTTTCTCAAAAATATTTTACTTTGAAATCAATTTTACAATAATATAATTGGCATACAATATACTTTATCATTCTCTTTATTATCAAACAACTTAATATATAATGGAAGAAGATATTTTAAACTATTCATCTACTGTCATGTTTCGTATCTAAAATGAAACCATGCAAGATTTTTTCGATATAGTCTCATAGGAAAAGTTTTTTGAGACAATTTCATTAGAAATATTAATCAGACATATAATAACAATTGGGAATATTTATTTGAAAACGCCATTGGAATAGTTTATCTGACATAATACCATCGGGAAATTGTATATGTGATAATACCATAAAAAGAGTGATCTGACATAATACCAATGAAAACAAAATTGAGATTGAGATTGAGATTAGTGCCAATTGAAAAACTCATTTCTCATAATTGCATTTTTTTATATCTTTTTTTGTTTTTTTTTTCCCACAATGCCATTGGAAAAGTTTATCTGACATAATATCATTGGAAAAGTTTATCTGACATATTACAGTTGGGACAGTTTATCTGACATAATATCTTTGGGAAAGTTTATCTGACATAATACCATTGGGAAAGTTTATCTGACATAAAACCATTGGGAATGTTTATCTGACCATAATACCATTGGGAATGTTTATCTGACATAAAACCATTGGGAATGTTTATATGACACAATGCCAACGGATATATTTAACTGATATAATAACATTGGGAAAGTTTATTTGACACAATACAATGGGAAAAGAATTTGTTAGTTCTATTCTTTTACATACAAGCAAACCTATAAATTCTAAACAGCAGTTAATCTCCATAACAGTCAGGACAGGTATATAAATAAAAGATACTTTAGGATATACTTGGATATTTGAAATATACTTCCATAATACATTAGTTTAAGATATACTTGGATATTTGAAATATACTTCCATAATACATTAGTTTAAGATATACTTGGATATTTGAAATATACTTCCATAATACATTAGTTTAAGATATACTTGGATATTTGAAATATACTTCCATAATACATTAGTTAGAGATATACTTGGATATTTGAAATATACTTCCATAGAACATTAGTTTAAGATATACTTGGATATTTGAAATATACTTCCATAATACATTAGTTTGCTGAGACAAGAAATATGTTTTTTTCAAAACAGAAAAATAAAAAAGCTGCACTGCAGGGATTTTATGTAAAAGGCAAAGTTTTTTCTGAAATGTGAGTAATTGAAACGACGACAAAAAAAATGTCTACGACTTGAAACAGTTGATATAAAGCACAAAAAGTTTATGTTCACCATAAGAGTTCATATGAACTTCAAAAAATTTTAACCGCTAAAAGTGTTATGAACCAAAACAAGTTTTTATAGAACCTCAAATATAGTTTATATGAACAACAACAAGTTTTTATGAACCACAAATAGTTTATATGAACCACAAATAGTTTATATGAACCACAGCTAGTTTATATGAACAACAACAAGTTTTTATGAACCACAAATAGTTTATATGAACCACAAGTTTTTATGCACCACAAATAGTTTATATGAACCACAACAAGTTTTTATGCACCACAAATAGTTTATATGAACCACAACAAGTTTTTATGCACCACAAATAGTTTATATGATCCACAACAAGTTTTTATGCACCACAAATAGTTTATATGAACCACAACAAGTTTTTTGGAACCACTAATAATTCAAGTTAACCACCACAAAAGTGTATGTGAACCTCTAAAAGTGAATATGAACTTCAAAATATGTTAGTAAAGAGATAAAGTGTTCAGTAAACAAGACAGATATTTTTTAACAAGATTTTCTGAACAAAACATGTTTTAAGAACTAAACCGAGTTTTGGAACCAATTTTAATTTTCATTTTAAAATAAATGTTTTTTCAGACATTCCTCTGGTTCAAACTCATATACGGATTCGGATATTGCTCAGTTTTTTCTTAAACCATTGGACAACTCATTCAGAGTTGGAGGTTGGTTATATTATCATTATTATTATTATTATTATTATTGTTATTATTATTATTATTATTATTATTATTATTATTATTATTAAAATTTATTTATATTCTTTTTTAAAGTAATCTGGTTAATTTTTAAACAATCAAACTATTTTTTGTCAATATTGATCTTCTGTTAGGGTCAAAAACAAAAGCAAATGTTCAGATTACAATTGTGCGACACACTGTGCCAAATTTTGACATTGAAAGTAAATATGCGCAAAAAACGCACCAAATGAACATGACAGAAGTGATATGCACTCATTTCGAAATTAAATTTTAAGTTGCAAATTAGAAAATTTTTAGCATACAATGTATATATGTATGTTTAGACTATGAAAAAAAAATTTCCTTTAACTTATTAAAGTTTGATTTTTCGTCTCCGCTCATCTTACATTAAAGAAATAAAAGTTAAATTAGTTAAAATCTTTTAAAACAGTGGTAGAAGTTCAGTACGCAAAAAATTCAAAGAATATCAATAAACTTATTAAAATCGATTTTATTTTTACTTTTCGCGAACATTATCATTTTGGTAAATTATTTAATTGGCCATTTTCTTTTAACATATTACAATGACAGTCATGAAACTCTGAAATCGGAAAACGACTTTTAGACAAGCATTTGTGCAGTGTAAATAGACCCATTTCATTGAATTAGGTATAACCTAGGTGGTTAATAAAACTATTTGCTTTGTAACAGTATAAAGTACACTTAAGTATTGCCATAATGTCGTTTTTCTATTCCATTGTTTTCTGGTTATCACTGTATTTCGGATTTTAAAATGTTTAGATGTCTATGAGCTAGCGAATAAAACAGGATTAAAGTTTGTCACCTTCTCAGATTTATCAAATAGAATAACTTTAAAGGTAGTTCTTAGGAAGATATTTGTATACTTCACAATGTGAGATTTATCGGTATTTTATTCCATTTTGTGAGAACTATTTTCTCTCTTTTATCCCCAATTACACCTGTAACACAAAATCTTCAAATCCGATGCATTTAAATGTTTTATTCAGGTGGTAAATTTCGTGGATTTTTTCTAACACGTTCTGTGCATTCAACTAGATAAAATCTGAGCCTGCGATTAAAAAATCGGAAAATAAGACTCAGGTCTAACTCTGCTGTCATTGAGACTACAGTATACAATTTTTCATTTCTATTTTATAATTTTGTCGAATTAAATTACAAAATGATTTTTGCAACGAATTGAAAGTATGAAGTGGTAGTCAATACTTATATGTATACTTAATCTTTGTGCCCTGAAGGAGGGGAGGAAGCCCAGCCACAACAATTTCTCGTCCGAGTCTCCTCGGAATCCTCGTCCTTCGATTATTTTGTGTTAAAAAGTTTGTAATTCTTAAAGACAAATCTATTTTTTAAAAATCTGGCCACGTTGGGGCATAAAATATGGATGGACTAAAGTACTGCAATGATTATATCATGTTGGAATCTTCAAACCCATGAGAATGATGTCAAACTTTACTAAGGTAAAACTTAATCTCTTCTGCCTCCGTAATGGCTAACCTTCGTGATATGAAATAAATAGCAAAATATTCGACATACCTCTGTCTATAATTTTCCCCATGGAACCACCCAGAAAAATTCTATGGTTTTTACTGTAGTTAACAAAAAAGATTGAAGTTCTAATAACTTGGAATTATTTGCGGCATTCTACACCAGGAATATCTGAAAATGAGCGTAAAAAAGGTGAATATTTTTAAAGACATTAAACTTGAAATCTTTAATTTATTTAAACTTTTTTTTCGATTTTTAAAAATTTGATATTTAATTCATGCTCTAACATGGCTTGATATTAAAAAATAGTTTTATCTGGAAGGATTAGACACTTTAAAAAAAATAATTTTGAAAGAACGAGGTGGCTCGAACGAGAAAATGAGGAGCATGTGGCTCGGACGAGAAATTGTGTGGTTGGCCTTCCTTCCCTCCCTGAAGTTATATAACGAATTTAAATGTCATAACAACGTTTGAATTTTAAAATGCATCTCTCGATTAATTCCTAAACAAAGTATTCAGATTTATCACATTTCTCCTGGGCCCCTTAAAAATGTTATTTTTTATTTTACAATTTTGTCGAATTCAATTACAAAATCTCTCTAGTGGAACGAATAGAAAGGGATTTGAAATGGTGTCAAGTTTATTAGTATATGACTATTTAATGTTGGTGCCCTGAGAGGAGGAGGGGGGGTTAGTATAATGGATATGAATTTAAATGGCCTAACCACGTTTGTAATTTTAAATGCATCTTCCACGAAAGAGTTCTAATAGTTTTCTCACCAAATAAAAAGAAATACTTTTAAATCGTGCACCCTTAAAACCAGCCGCTTTGTTCCCGGGGTGGGCGTGGATGGGGGAAGGGAGTACGTCTCCAATTATTTTTGCGTCTATAAAAATTAATGTTACGTTAATAAATTTTAAGCTTGAGAACTACTTGCCCACAAACCTGATGAAAAAAATGGCGGCGAAAGATATCGTGACTCAGCAGAAAATGGCGGAGCTTCTGGGCCTTGGACCTTTCACCTTCCATTTTCTTCTCTCTAAGGTGAAGACGACATCTCATAAAAAATAGATGTTTATTTATTCCCAATGAATTACAACTCAACAGAAAGAAAAACGTGGATTTTTTTTTCTTTTTTCCTGTAGTTCCTTCTAACCTTTTACTGAAATAAAAGGATAATATTTCTTTATTAAAAGTTTTATTCCTCATATTTCAATATTGTCATTTCTAAAATTTTATTTTAGGAAACTAAATCCGAAGCAAGCTTTGATAATCTGGACAATATTCCATTCCTTTTCCTTTCCCCTGAAGGTAAAATTGTAAAATTATAAAAAATATTTTGTCCATAATATCAAATTATTGAAAACATTTCAAATACGTTACTAGAAAATACCGATATAATTTATACATTCCCATCAAACTCAACTCGGCTCAATATTTTAAATTCATCTTTGCAACCTGACGGGGTAAATATCTTTAAATCACAAAATTTATGTGGTTTAAAAAGTCAAACAAATTAGAGTTTTGGGTGTGACAAAAGTTCACTTTTGAATGTCTTGAATGTCGTCTTTGCTACAGTCAGTTGTTAGAAGTAAATTCTAGGCTTAATAATTTACAAAATACTCCTAATCTTTTTCAAAAATGTCTGCCTTTTTTTTGTCCTTTCAATACCACTGGAGATTTCGACATTTTAGGTTTTATTTTAACAAAATTTAAATCTGAACGAAATTCTCGAAATCTCAGTTAATATTGACAGCACTAAAAAGGCAGATCACACTTTGGCAATGCCAGGACTAAGAGAATTTTTGTGGTTATTGTTTTAAGAATCATACATATTAAGGTAATTTAACTAAATTCAAAGACTGACTTAAATGTCTTAAGCCGTTTTGCTACTGTCATGTTTCGCCGTGCTTCTTAAAAAGAAAAAGATTATGCAAAGTTATGAAAAGAGAGGACAAATTCCTGATAGTCTGGAGGGGAGTGAAGGCTTGATTGCTACTTAGTCTGTGCACTATGCAATACACACACATTAGTATAACGGCTGCATTTCTTTAAACAGTATAAAGGAATTGTAGCCTTCATTTCTAAATATAAAGGGATTGAAGCCGTCATTTCAAAATATAAAGGGATAGTAGCCGTCATTTAAAAATATAAAGGGATTGTAGCCGTAATTTCTAAATATAAAGGGATTGTAGCCGTTTTTTTTCTAAATATAAAGAGATTGTAGCCGTCATTTCTAAATATAAAGGGATTGTAGCCGTTTTTTTCTAAATATAAAGAGATTGTAGCCGTCATTTCTAAATCTAAAGGGATTGTAGCCGTCATTTCTAAATATAAAGGGAGTGTAGCCGTTTTTTCTAAATATAAAAGGATTGTAGCCGTCATTTCTAAATATAAAGGGATTGTAGCCGTCATTTCTAAATATAAAGGGATTATAGCCGTCATTTCTAAATATAAAGGGATTGTAGCCGTTTTTTCTAAATATAAAGGGATTGTAGCCGTCATTTCTAGATTTAAACAGATTGTAGCCGTCATTTATAAATATAAAGGGATTGTAGCCGTCATTTCTAAATATAAAAAGATTGTAGCCGTTTTTCTAAATATAAAGTGTTTGTAGCCGTCATTTCTAAATATAAAGGGATTGTAGTCGTCATTTCTAAATATAAATGGATTGTAGCCGTTTTTTTTCTAAATATAAAGGGATTGTAGCCGTCATTTCTAAATATAAAGGGATTGTAGCCGTCATTTCTAAATATAAAGGGAGTGTAGCCGTCATTTCAAAATACTTAAATTTAAAGTATGTATGATTCCGATATAACCTAAAAGTAAAAATTATTTATCTTTGAAATATAAAAAAAACATACACAACTAAATGTTTTAGGAGAAAATGTTTAAAAACCTCTAAAAGTAGAGGTTGTGAGAATATTTCCCCCCTGTTCTAAAAAAATATAAAAATATAAATATAAGGAAAAGAAAGGATAAGGAAAGTTACATATTTATTGTTTACACTATATTAAATATAAATTGGTGGTGGATTAGAAGACTTTCTGTCTAATATTTGATCATATCAGATCAATTGCGGTTTTATACAGCAGAAGCAATTGAGAACAATCTCACGCGGTGTAGTGAATCGCACATGGTACACTATTATAAAAGTTTCGTGTGTGTTTCACTTGGAATTGAAATTATGTCAACCCTTTAAAAAAAATACGAATATCATTCTTTTGCTTTATTTTGTTAAAATAAGTTTTAAAAACACAAAGTTTTTCTTCAAATTGTTTTCCGCTTCAAAAAGTCCAAAATTTGATCAAACTAAATTTTCACAAACATTTAGATCTTGATGAAAGTATGCTAGGATTTTTTTATTTAATCTATTAATTTAGGTTTGTTGCAAGTTTTAGAGGAAAAATGCAAAGACCAGGTAAAAATTGAAAATATATTTTCTGCGAAATATAATCTTAAAAATCATATTTAATATATATTATAATGTCCAAGAAAAGTAATATATTATTTTACTAGATATACTTTTTTCCACTTTGTATATTGTTAACCTATAAGCTGTACTGTAAAGGTTAACCGCCCTTGATGTAACCTATAGCTGTACTGTAAAGGTTCCCCCCCCTTGATGTAACCTATAGCTGTACTGTAAAGGTCCCCCCCCTTGATGTAACCTATAGCTGTATTGTGAAGATCCCCCCCTTGATGTAACTTATAGCTGTACTGTAAAGGTTCCCCCCTTGATGTAACCTATAGCTGTACTGTAAAGGTCCCCCCTTGATGTACTGCTTAACCCTCAGCAATGTGTACAGGATAGTGATGGAACCTTGTCTCTAAGAATGTATGAAGATAATTCCCATCTAACTCAACCTTTTTCTCTTCCTTGCAACCCACATGCTACGGTAGGAAACAATATTTTTCGCCGGAATGCTTTCTTGCAAAAACTTAAAGATTTGCTTTTCTAACCTATATGTTCCCTCAAACATGTGACGATTGTTAAGGAGTAAAATACGTGTATTTTCATCCAAAAACCGCCCGTTCACCATTAATTTCTGTCCAGTTTCTCCAGGGAGTAAGGAATAGAAGGGAGATATAACTGACGCGGTTCGCCCTACCAAATGATTATACATGCTTTGCAGACGGGTACTTCATTTGAATAAGAAATATTTGTCTTATGTACAATCAACGCTTATACAATAACCTACTCTGAATATTTCATATACAAATGGAGTACCCGTCTGCAAAGCATGTATAATCATATGGTAGTGCGAACCGCGTCAGTTTTATCTCCCTTCTATTCCTTACTCCCTGAGTTTCTCAGAGAACAGTTCTAACAGCGTGCTTTAGATTTTTTCCCGAACAATATGGTCGTGGACAGGATAGTTTTCCTTTTATAGCGCACAGCCCTACTCTAACTACACACTACACTGGGTTAACACAAATAATTAGACTTCAAAGACGACTGTACAAAATTTTAATTGTTTCATATATATATATATATATATATGATTCATTGCAACTTGTCTTGTTTTTTTCTTTTTCTTTAACAAGGGATTTAAAACTATTTTTATGGCAGAAGACTTAAGAGAACCATGTAGTCCTCAATTTTAGTTTTAGATCGTCTTTACAGTCTCATCCTTTGTGGGTATACCTGTGCTGCATATAGAGATGGAAGGGAAAACATGCTTAAATATTAATATTTATATTACTTTCTTGACAGGTTTTAAATTATACATTCCCCCCATACGATAAGTATACATATACTATTAGATGTATCAATAAATATGTCCGTCAATTGTCAAATAATAAAATATAAAATTTTTTTAGGATTTTTTGGGGAGCCTTTTAAAACATCCAGGACAAAGAACAGAGAAAATTTTACAAAACCTGTTAAAAAAGTATCCAGAATTGACCCCAGAACACATGTTTTCGCGTATGACTGGTTTCTACAATGCCGCAAAACATTCTGGACAAATCCTTTTACGACATAAAAGCATTGGAGGATTTCCTCGAAGTAAAATATCAAGTTTTTATAAGATTTCAAGAAATTAAAAATAAGTTTTTTATTTCATCCGCTTAAATATTAAAATATTTTATTGAACAGTATTTTTAGTGCTTAACCCAAATTTTCAAAAACAGAAATAAAAGAAAAACTTTTCAGAAGATCAACCATTTACATTTAAAGAAACAGCTGTAAGTAGTTTGAGCCGTTTTTCTCAAAAACATTTATGTCAAGAGGAAGAAAATATATTTATATATATGTGTAAAGAGGAAAAAAATCTAAACGAAATTTGTTTTTGTTTTCGGGAAAAAAAGTTTCCATCTTAAAAAGCTTTTCATTGACTAATAAAATTTTTAAACGAATACCATTCTAATTATGAAAAAGGTTCAGATTAAATGATTTAAAAAGTGTTACCTTTAACATTGCAGTGGCTCTCTAATTAACATTAATTTGTTAACACATTAATGGCAAAGTTTACATCGATTCTAATTGTCTTCTATTTGAAAAGTTTATTGCGTAGTATTTTTAAAGCTGCTCTCTATTTATTATAGATACATCAATTGTAACTTGTAATTAAACAAACTTAGAAATAAAGATACAAATTTTGTAGATATTAATAAACAAAAACAGTTGGTAAACATATGCACAATAGGGTTGTTAAAAGTAACAAAATGATTAATTAGAATACTTAATACATTATATAATCAGCTACAAAAATGATACAATATGACGCTAAAAAGTTTTTATAAGAAGATTACAAATTTATTTGTTTATGATATTTTGTGAAGGAGGGATCTTAACACATCAGAGGCTAAAACTTTTGATTGTGAACTTTAATTTGACCATTTTTAAGGTTCAAATACAAAGTTGCTGTCGGTATGAATCTTAAAATACGTATATAAAAAAAAATGTGAAAAGTTGTTTTGAAATTTTATTTTTTTTTTTAAACCCAGCTTTGAATGACGGGATTCTAGCTATGGTGCCAATGTTTCTCAAATAAAGTATTTAAAGAACTTACGGACATATTATAATGTACGTTCTCCAAGGGGTGTCCTAAAAATATGAATGTAAGAATTGTGTATCCATGTAAAAATTACTCCCGTTGAAAAACGATATTTTAAAAACAACAATAATGATCAATTATTCATGAAACTCATATTTTTTACATATTATATTTTACACAGCACACATTGATCATAAGAAACACAAAACTATTGTTTACAAAATTAGTGTAAAAGACGATCAAAAGAAAATACATCTTGATGTTTATTGTGACTCCCTCTGTGTAAAGTACTTCAAGTCTTACTTATCGTTTACTTAAAGTTGGAAAGCCCCCAACTAAGCTTTTAGTACCTTGGAACCTTTAACCTTAGGTTTCTATTCTCTTATTGTCAGAAAAATGATCTTTATCTCTCTCTCTATATATATATATATAAGGTAGTAATCTCTGTTTGTTTGTATGTCCGATCATAACTCAGGAACCCTTTAACAACCTTGCCTCAAATGTTGATTGAGGGAACACTGTAGAACCGTGGGAATGTTCTTAGCATGGTTTAAATGTTTTCGTTGAATAGATTGACTATTATAAAGAAATATTTGTTTCGAAATAAAGTTGGGTTCCCAACCTTGCAACTTACACTTGTCTCGTTTTTGGAAATCCAATACATTTTGTGAAAATTTACAACAAAAGAACAATCTCTGAAACGATATTTTGTTAAATTTTTTGATTTTAGAAACTATTTCGATAAAAAATACCCTTTCGCTGAAAGGAATTTGGTCTTTGTCACAAACTCAAATATTTCTATTTCTCTGCAACATGATGGTTATATCCCTTTATCTAAGATCTACAACATTGGATTTCAAAGAAAATTTGAGTTTGTGACAAAGACTCAAGTAAAGACATGATATTTTATATAATTGTTTGTAAAACATGAATAAAAACAGTGTTTATGGATAATTACATCTAATTACCCATAATTAACGTTTTCTGATGAGTAAATCAAGCTTGCCATTGATTTCTGTCTCAAGGTTAAATAGTTTTTCTCGTAGGTCCGCCAGCTCTATTTTAGAAAATTAGATTAAAATAATACATCTATACAATTATTGGCCGAAATAAATAATGTCCTTCTGAAAATCTAATTATATTCTACAGGGTGTCCCAATAAACATGGGAATTCAGTGACGAATTCGATATCGTCTTTTCAAATAATTCTTTGATTTAGTACAGTGATACCTACTGAGAAAGCTGTAATCTGTAAGAGTTTCGTCTTCTATGTTCACATTTTGTTTGTTTATGTTTTGACTGCATAGGGTTGTACTTAGTAAAACAAGAAAATTACAGTATACAAACAGAGTAAACTTGTCCCTCTTCACTGTTCATCTTGCGGAGACATTAAAGACACATCTTGACAGTCTTTTACCCTTTTCATAAAATGAACTCTAGCAGACAAAATAATATTATGGCTTTTGAAATTATGGTATTACAATGCTAATTCAAAAAAAGGAAGATATCGAATTTGTCACTAAATTCCCATGTTTTTTGAGACACCCTGTATATCTATCAATATTCTATCTCTTACTAGAAATCAGCCAAAATTGCATAAAAGACTTTCCTTACCTAAATACACAGCTCAATAAAAAGTAATAAATTAAAAATACAAAAATCATATTTTAAATTGGTTCTAAATTAAGATTCACTTGAATCTTTAACTTACCAAGCCATGTAAATATAATTTTCTTCTTCTGTTAATTTACAATCACTAACCAAGAACAATTAGAAAAATTAGCAAGCTTCTTAACCTTGTAAGATCAACATCAAAAACTACAATTTAAACTTGAAAAGGGGTGCCATTGCAAAGAGTTCTAAATGCCTAACATTCGTAATATACAGGCCACAGGATGTTCCTCGAACCATGCAAGTAGCAATACAACTTTAGGGTTGGCTTTAATCTTTGCTGGGCAGTTAATTGTAAACCTAATTTTAAAGTAAAATTCTAGAGTTAACAATCACAAAAAAAACTAGTCCTTGAATTTTGATGTTTTCTGCCTTTTTTGTGCTTTTAATATTACCAAGAAGATATGAAGAATTTTATTTAGATTTCAACAATTTTGGTTTTATTTAATATAATTGAAATCTGATCGAAATTCATAATATCTCCATTTTCCGGTAGTATTGACAGCACAAAAGAAGGAAATTTTGTGATTATTGTTTTAAGAATTATGAATGTAAAAGTATGGTTACTAACAATGCCACAAATTATTTCAAAGATTGACGACGAATTTTAAGTCGTCTCTCAACTGTCATGAATCGTGGGACACTATGTACCTCAATCTACAAGGTAAACAAGCCTATTTTTTATTTATTGACTTTACTTCAAAACTGATGGTGTAATTTATTTAGAATTATTTTCCTGGAATTTAATTGTTATCAGGCATTTAATAAAGTTGTATCATTTACTCTCAGACAAATTAGAATCAATAGAAATTTAAACCCCCAAGGGATTCAATGATAAACCTGAGGGCGTAGCCCAAGGGTTTATCATTGAATCCCGAGGGGGTTTAATTTCCATTAATTCTAATTTGTCTGAGAGTAAATGACATTTCTTTTTAAAGAGGGGATTCAATGATAAACCCGAGGGCTTGCGGATTTTGCGGATTTTTTTTTTTACCTTTGTAGATTTTCAAAGTATCTTTCAATTAAAATATCCCGGCGGAATATTTTCATTGAAAGATACTTTGAAAGAACATAGAAATGTTTGATAGAACCTGGAAAAACTAATACATAATGCATTTTTTTCTTTGATCAAAGATATTAGCCAACATTACTTTAAAAAACCAAAAACAAAACAAGAAATGTTACTTATCGTTTTGAATTTCTTTTCAGATAATTTCTTTAGTTTGAGTAAAGTTTTGCATAATAAAGCAAATTTCTCTATCATGCAATTGTAAATTAGGATGTGCATCTCCAATTCTCGTGGAGTCTCATGAAAGCTTTAAATCTTGAAAAAATACATATCTCGGAACGATGTCCATTGTCCATTGCCCATTAGATCAGTATATCTACATTATTCTACAATAATACAAAGTTGGTAAATAATGATAAAATTGTTTTAAATTTCTTGAGAGAAAATTCGTGGATAAATATTTTCTTGTATTGTCAGCATTTCAACCAAAAAACTAGTTCAAACAGAAATACTGAAAATTTTTAAAAGAAAAATCAGGGGTGTATATTTTCTCGATATATTTTTTCTCCCCCTAAACCCCCCTTTTTAAAATAATTTTTCCACCAGAAGTTACATGTAAACAATATCCTCCCCAGGCCAGGGGAGGGTGTGGTAATTCTTTAAAATATATATTCCTTGAAACAACAAGGATTTGTCTGGGTTTAATATTTAATCTATTCCTGTAGTGTCGTAGCTATCCTGAGACCGATTTTTCAAAACAATTTCCTTAAATATTAGAATTCAATTCAATTTCAAATCTTGTAAGAAAAGAATATACCCGACATTTTTTGTCTTTGTTTTGTCACACCTTATATACAGATACAAGAATTTGTTTAACTCCTTATTAGTTATGCCTTAGAAGTTATCGGAATTCCTATTACCTCAGTAGACACCAGAATTTATGCTACCTCAGAAGATACCAGAAATTCTCTAAAGGCTATCCTTAGCAGATACAATGAAATTCCGTATACCTTAGTAGATACCAGAAACCAACATTTATTTTACCTTAGCAGATACCAGATTCTTTGGAAAATAAAATATACCAGCAATTCTTATACTAGTAGATACCAGAATTCTTTTAAATTATCAATAGAATTCCTTATACATTAGTAGATACCAAAATTCCTTGCAACTAGTAGATACCAGAACTCCTTATAACAGAATTCTTTTACCTTAGCAGATACCAGAGTTCCTCTTACCTTAGCAGACACCAGAATTCCTCTTAACCTAGCAGATACTAGAACTACTTATAACTTAGCAGATACCAGAATTCATTTACCTTAGCAGATACCAGAATTCCTTACTTTAACAGAAACTAGAAGTTCCTTCACCTAAGATGACATCAGATTTCTTCAAACCTTAGCAGATATCAGAATTGCTTAGACCTTAGTAGATAAAAGATTTCTTAGCAGATATCAGAATATGTTTTACTTTATCACACACCAGAATTCCTCTTACCTTAGCAGACACCTGAATTCCTTATACCTTAGCATATACCAGAATTTCCCTTACCTTAGAAGACACCAGAATTCCTTATGCCTTTGCAGATACCAAAATTCCTTTTACCTTAGCAGACACCAGAATTCCTCTTACCTTAGCAGATACCAGAATTCCTCTTACCTTAGCATATACCAGAATTCCCCTTACCTTAGAAGACACCAAATTTCCTTATACCTTTTCAGATACCAAAATTCCTTATACCTTAGCAGACACCAGAATTCTTCTTACCTTAGCAGACACCAGAATTCCTCTTACCTTAGCAGATACCAGAATTCCTCTTACCTTAGCAGATACCAGAATTCCCCTTACCTTAGGAGACACCAGAATTCCTTATACCTTTGCAGATACCAAAATTCCTTATACCTTAGCAGACACCAGAATTCCTTTTACCTTAGCAGACACCAAAATTCCTTCTCCGATCTGATCCTGTTGCAGAGAACACATTGCTCCAAGATGATTAGGTTTCACTGTAAACTCTTTATCTAAAAAACAGAAATGTACAGTGTAAACTGTACATTGTACAGGGTCTCTAAAAAACTGAAATGTACACTGTTCACTGTACATCGTACAGGGTCTCTAAAAAACAGAAATGTACACTGTTTACTGTACATTGTACAAGGTCTCTAAAAAAGAGGTTAATGTAAGAGGCTGAATATTAATCGATTTTTTTCTTTTTTGAGGGCATTAAAATATTTGCCTAAAGTTGCATATTCTAATGTTGAAAACATAAATGCTATACCTTGTTGAACTATTTTCTTTACTCTTGATGGTTTTTGAGTAGATATTTCTAATGTCCAAATAAAACTAAAATCGATAAAATATTTGATTGAAATAATGGACAACCATATATGTTTTGTATTTCTGTTTACTTAAGTGTAAAATAATTGCATTTTTTAAAATATAGATTTTACATCTGAACCTGTATCTTCGCATCCAAATCACGTCGAATTTCTCATCCCATACAATTTTACCCTTCTTGGAAGAAATCACCTTCATAGGAGTACTATCCGAGACCAACTTTCATTGGAGACCTCCTGACCGTTATATAAAACCCACAGATTTTTAACGGGTACCCAAATTTTCATTGGAGACCCCCAGATTTTCATCGGAGACCCCAAATTTGCATGTAAGACCCCCAGATTTTCATCAGAGACCACAAATTTGCATGAGAGACCCCCAGATTTTCATCGAAGACCACAAATGTGCATGAGAGACCCCCAGATTTTCATCGGAGACCACAAATTTGCATGAGAGACTCCTAGATTTTCATTGGGATCTCCTATGATATGAAATGATGATTTCTTCCCAGATTATTTGTAGGATTTCAAAATCTGTTTACGCCATGCATAAACCAGTCTCGATATTTTTATGAATTATATTTGAAGTATAATTCCAAGGTATTTTGAAATGAAACGTTATTTTTTTTGCTACGTACTACATCTAGTTTTTAACTAGCTTTGCTACGAACCACATCTAGTTTAATTTTAACTAGGTTTGCTACGTACTACATCTAGTTTTTAACTAGGTTTGCTACGTACTACATCTAGTTTTTAACTAGGTTTGAAGAGACTGGCAATATATTTTCAAGTTTCATGTCTGATTCATAAAAGTACCTATAAAACAATAATATAATTAACACTGTAGAAAATAAATTATTTTTCAATCTTGAAACATGTTTCTAAAATCCTTTCTTGTGTTTCGCATCTACCTAATGAGTTAATCACCTATGTACAATCGCCTTATTTACCCCTGGATTCAGTATCTGTCCTGAGAGGAAAGAAGATTCCAGAAGACCAGTATTTTCTAGTTTGTATATTATAAATGGTTTGAGTTCTGTACTGCGCACGGAATTCAACCAGTATTGTCAAAGATTTCGTAGTTGACGGACTGTGTATTGTCTCTAGGTTTTTTATTTTACTGTTAAGTGTTTCGAGGACCAATGTGGTGAGTTATCCTCATATATATTATTTATAAATGCTCATTATTGATATTTACTCCAAAGATTATATTCGTATGCTGCAGATTTTTAATGCCTATGTAAGATACTTTGTTTATCTCAAAGGAAAAATATGATAAATGTTTATTACTTAAAGCTTTTTCTGTAGCCTGTTTATTTTTCAATCTATAATGATTGTTTTATAGATTGAACTGCGTAATAAAACTTGAAGACTGATCCTGATTTATTCATTATGGAGAGATCTAAGAGCAGAGCAGCTTAAAGTCAGATCCGGAGAAACACCCCACGGTATACATATACTCAAATCTAGGGTAATTGCGAAACACCTTGTTTCTATTGCATGTATTCGCAAATCACTTAGATAGAAAAACCGAAATAAACAGTTATTAATCCTAATAGGAGAAGATAAGGATATTTCTTTACTTATCTTGGACAAATTATTAAATTGACACACTGTCAATCTAAAATATACAAATATAGGATCCCCAGAAACTACGTTGACAGACTTTTTAAGATCAAATGATTAAAATTAAAATGTTTTTATTTTCAGAGTTGAAAACTGTTAATATTGAGATAAATATTGATTTTCTCTTTTTGTTAATCTCAAGATTAATTTAATCTTAAGTTTGTATTCAGAAAAACATATTTTCATTTAATCATGCAATTTTGTCTGTTTCTTTGTATGTCCGATTATAACTCATGAACCCCTTGACCGATTTGCCTCAAATTTAGATTGGGTACTCGATAAAACCACGGGAATGTTCTTAGTTTTGTTTTGCGATTGAGTGGGTCAACTTTTATATGGTAAAAAAGCTAAACGCGTAATTTACGACCAAGCGCGGGTAAACGGTTGGAGTAACTATAAGTAACCTGGGCAACGCTGGGTTTGCAAGCTAAAAGTGTATATTTTTTTACCTGGAAGAACTGTGTAGAATAGAAGAAATCCTTTAGCTCCAGTTTTAAACACTAACAAAATAAAGGAATTGAGTGTTTGCACAAACTCTTATTTTCTAATCTCTATATCTTTGCAAACCAATGTCGTAAACAAACTATTTCAAACTATGTTTCCTGTTAGATCATAACCTTAGTTTGAAATATCAAAGGTTTACACCATCAGGTTGCAAAAACAAAAAATAAAATAAGAATGAAATAAACATGACTGTCCACGTCATACTGGTGTACATTTGAATATCCTAACGTATCATTTGTTAAATTACTTTGCTATAATAAACTTGGTGAACGTAATGAATTTCTGATTTTAGAGTTAGATTTCAAATATGGTCTTGGGTTGAGCAGATTAAGTTGGTTGACTCTTGAAAATGGGAAGTTTTAAGTTTTTAAATATTAAACATTTTTATCATGAGAATTTTTAAAAAAATTATTAGACTTCTAAATCACAATCGTAAAATTTATGTTTGATGCTCGGACATTTTTGCTAGTATAACATTTGATGAGGTCGTTTTTTGTATACAGCCTTGAAAACATTAGTTTTGTTATTCGACACTTTTTTCATATTAAAAACATCTCCAATGCCATTATATCTAGAGCTAGGTTAGGCCCTTTGAGGCGCTAGGCTATAGCTTGGATTAGCCACGGGGGCCGAGCGCTAAAAAATAATAAAAACATTAAACATGACATATACGTAGCAAAATGGCATGTAAAAAAGACGCAAACAAAAATGGCACATGCAAAAATGCAGTTGTGGCAATTGTTATACTTTGAAGACCTACCTTTTCTGCAAAAGCCAGTTCTGAAAATAAACAGATTTTCAAAACATTTCCAACAAAAAAAAATTAAAGTTTATATCATTTCAGGCATATATGTATTTATTTTTTAACCCCCTACCGCTCAAGAATAAATGTTTTAAAGAGATTTATTGCTGAATTAGCAAATCTTCATGATATAAGGTGAAATATATGAATTTTTAGGTTAAACGGAGCTTACCTTTTCCTCCACTTGTACTAACGGGAAGTGGACACCCCATTTTATATTTACCCAAGTATTCAAACAAACCCCCCCCACCCCCAACCATCATGGTCTTAAAAGGATATATCTTTAAAATATGTAAATAAATTAATTAAAACATTAAAACAAATTTTTGAAAATCTTCTAGTTCCTGTAGCACTGTCGGATCAGAGAGATTGAAGGAATTGATTTCAGGAACTCTGGAACATTGGACAGAAAATCAAATGGATCACCTTGGAACCAAACTTGTGATTACTTGACACAGGGGAGACCTTAAGGAGTGGGGGAATATTTGAAATAAAGCACGCGAAGCCCAATTTTTAATATTTCCATAAATAAAAATAATCAATTTTGACTATTAGGTGACTCCAGAGGGAAAATGTTTTTGTAAAAATTGTAAAAAAGGTCCTTAAAATTGTCCTCTCTGACCTCTCCCTAGTCCTCAAATTTGTTCGTAGAGGGAGAGGTAAAAGGACATGTAGCCAACAAATTTATAATTTGTAGCGGTTTACTGCTATTGCAATGTCCTTAAAAACAATTTTAAAAATGAAAAAATAAGAAATTTTTTTTAAACCTTCGAGGTCTAAACCAATTAATTTTTTCTCAGCCAAATATCCTTCGGAATAAATTTTTCAAAAAAAATGACAGAAACTAAAAATAAACTGTATCAAAGTTTGCCTAGTAGAGTGGATTCCATGTAGGATATAGTTTCTACTCTGCTGATATACGAATATATTTCAGCTTTAGCCTAAAATATAATTGTAAATAAAGCGACTGTGCGCATATTTGTTCTACTGAACCTCCACGCAAAGATGACAATGTCCGATTTTCAACTTTACTCTGAAAGCTTTGTATAATCATTAAATAATTAGATTCGCATGTATTATCTTTTTATACTTATTTCTTATTTCTGAATTTTTTACAAAACAATATACAGTGAAACCCGTAATAACGAATACATCGAAAGAATTCATCAAATGTCGTATTCTTCACTTTCTGATAATGGAAAGTTGCAGATATTTAGTTTTTTAATTACATGATTTTTTGAACCTCTTTAAAACTGTTCCCGCATATTCATGGTTATTTATTTAATTTTGCAAATACTGAAATTTACGTAATATAGTATAAAACTCATCGAAAAATTGTCAAGACGACATTTGATAAATTCTTCCGATGTATTCGTAATTAAGGGTTTCACTGTAGTTTCAGAAGAAGTTAATATTTCCATTTACTGATAGCGCCAATGTAAGGATTCATAACTCTGATTGGATAATGAGATAGATATACATACTTTTTCTATTGATTCAGAATAGACAACAATTACATGACTGAACCCTGATTGGATCAGGTGCTAATGAACTCAGCATACAGGAGTGAAAAAGAACGCATTTCTTGCTTATAAGAAACGATGTATAAAAAAATCACAAAAATAAACACTTCTCAACTTGTCAAGTCAGAAAAAGACTGTACACTCCACAAATTAAATCAGATTACCGTTCTACTATTGTAACTCGGGAATTGCTACCTTGAATGGAGGATCGCTCAAAATTACGCTGGCAGTTCCTTTGAGAAACGATTTTTCTGAATTAAGACTGTTCATGGAATTTTAAAATAACAGTAAACGTTCAGGTTGACCTACATATGGGGAAAAACTATGAGCGATCGCAAAACTACTCAGCTCAAATTTAGAATTATTTATAGGCTAAACCCGAATTTGAAATCAAATGGTACTACTATTTATTTCTCTTTGATGTTTGCTAATGATTCAATGTTTAAAGAATATCGTTTACAATATGTTCCGATCTTTTTTCCCAACAATATTTTTCCATTAATATTTTTTTTAACAATATTTTTTATTTTTTCCAACAATATTTTTTATTTTTCCCAACAATATTTTTCCATCAAAATTTTTTCCAACAATATTTTTTATTTTTTCCAACAGTATTTTTTATTTTTCCCAACAATATTTTTCCATCAATATTTTTTCCAACAATATTTTTTATTTTTTCCAACAATATTTTTTTATTTTTTCCAACAATATTTTTCGACAATATGATCAAATGACGTCTTGAGGCCGTACATTTTTCCCTGGAATTTTTAATTGTTTAAAAATGCCTTTTTTTGGCAGGAACTATTGTAATATTGTACAATTGTACAATATTGTACAGAGAGATTAGAAATCGTTGCTTATGATTCAGATGACATTATCTAAAACATACCAGTTATAAGACAATAGAAAATGCATGAATTAAAACTTTCCCCAGATGTACTCTTCCTTCTAGATCTCAATATAAGTTTAAAATATGATATTTAAGTTTTAAATTTCCTCTTAAATTGAAGATCAAATTGAAGATCAAATTGAAGATCAAATTGAAGATCAAATTGAAGATCAAATTGAAGATCAAATTGAAGATCAAATTGAAGAATTCTATCAAATATAATTCAGTATATACTCTAGTTAATATTTGGTATCATGCTGGTTTGAAAAAATGGGGGGGGGGTGATAATTGGATGTTAACTAGCAAGTTTTCCCTTTTAACACTTTATACCCAAGATTTCAGCTATTAAAAAAAACATTTTCGTCATTTCAGTAAAAAAACAACCAAAACACTTTTAACTAAAAAATAATTCTGGGAAGTTTGGGGGTCTGAAAGAAAATGAAACTTCAAATATTTAATTTGTTCTTTATTAACCCTATCCCTGCTGGGGTACTTGAAAACCAGGTTACGCTGGGGGGATTTAACTCCCCCCCCCCCACCTCTAAATCCCATGTTTGATGTTTCATGATTCCAAATATGACAAATGATACATCATTGGAAAGCTCTTGTGCTTTACTTATAGAATCTGCAAAATAATTAGAAAATTTACAAATGTTATTTTTTTTTGTTGCAAAATCAAGTTATGTTGTAAAAATTTTGTCAAAAAAATGTCCATCTTGTCAGCTATCAATGTTTACACGGACACAAGCACGTAATCTATCAATGCCAAATAAATGGACATGATCAGCTGTCAATGTCTACACAGACACAAGCACGCAACTATCAATGCCTCTTCTGGGACAGGATCTGGAGCTATAGATGCCTCAACTAAGACACAATCTCGTAAACTATCAATGCCTCAAATAGGACACAATCTTTAACTCATTTCTTTAAAACAAGGACATGATGACTACCTCGCAGTAATCAAAGTGAAGTCTATATATCAACTCATGTATTTGAGGTTTATATGTTACAATTTAAAGTTAATAGCAACGTTAATAGACGTAATTACAATTTTTACGTCGTTATCTATATCAAATGATGAAGATAATCCTGTTACGTATTTACAGCACAATTAACCCTATAAAAGCTGAGGTCTGAATCTATGAATAGCNCAAAGAAAAACAATTAGACCAATATTAATAGTTTGGGTGCTACAGAATCCCAAAGGAGTTAAGCGCATGCTCTCTCTGAGTCCTGTAATTCAAAGCGGCATGCACATAATTTCGTTGGGCTTCTGCCTCAGGGTTATTGTGAACTAAAAATCCCTAAATTTTAAAAAGACGACATCTAGTGTTCTATCTTTAATGTTATTAATCTATGAGGTGTACCTTTATATCTCCTGTATCGCTGACCGCCAGCCCGTTCAGTAGATTCATCAAAACAACAACAATCAGAAAAACAAAACTGAGAAAGTAGCAGTACGCCAGCATACCCAGATATCCAGAGCTAAAATAAATGTTTTTTATTTGTTTTAATGAATTCTCAAATGGGTTTTCAATCTGAATTCTGATGGCAAAATTTCGCTGAATTATGCGGAGTTGTGGGAAATGCGCGGAATTGCAGTGACCTTAAATGACCCTCCATTTTTATGGTGGCATGTCCGATTCATAACGGTACACTTAAACACTTTATCTGATCTAACATATATAGAGCTATATGTTCTATATATAATATGTCAAAACAGACAAAGGTTTAAAGGCCGCCATTTTAAATCAAACTAAGACAATTTTTTCCTACATTTTTTACTAAGACAGTGTTTTCCTATCTTCCTATTTCAAATAACGTCTTTCTATCATACTAACTCAAACTCAGTAATTTCTTTAACTTTGATCTTCTTTTCCACAAACAATTTGTTATAAAATATTCCTAATCTAAAAAAGTTAAAAAAAAAACTGTAAGAACATCTTTTTTAAAATCGAATTAAATCTTTTTTCGTAGATTTTTATTAGATTATCAGTTTTTACTCATGGTCAGAAGTGATTTTGGTTTTTCTCCATATTTATTTAATCAAATTTGATTTCGTTAGTCACATTTACAAATAATTTATTTTCTTGCTTCCTCCTCTGTACAAATAAAATCATTTCACGTGACCAAGTTTTCTAAAAAAGTATTTAAATGGTCACTAATTCTTAAAAACCTGTCAATTGGTAGATCACTGAATTCCAGTTCTCCCACAAACATAGCAGAGGTTTTCACTAAAATAAAGATTAAATTTTATTTCTGGATTGTTCTGCATATCAAATTATTTCTGGACTGTTCTGCAGATCAAATTATTTCTGACTTGTTCTGCATATCAAATTATTTCTGGATTGTTCTGCAGATCAAATTATTTCTGGATTGTTGTGCAGATCAAATTATTTCTGACTTGTTCTGCATATCAAATTATTTCTGGATTGTTCTGCAGATCAAATTATTTCTTAATCGTCTTCATTTTTGATGTAGATCATTCCTATAGCGATAACCAGAAAATAGGAAGACGACCTTAAAGCAATATTTAAAGGGACTGTAAAGGAAAATTGAAAGGGGAAATAGGATAAACCCTGAGAATCTCAGGCGTTAAACGATACATATCAGACATCTATCCGAGGTTTCGATGTTTCTGTCTCAAGAAATTGATATAAAACTGTGTCAAATTTATACGAAAATTCATAGATATGCAATTTTGTAAAAATTTTTGTATAATTATATCTATTAAAAATTCAGAATAAAAATTAAAAAAATATAATGGGAGCAAACCTGAGATTCTCAGGTTTCTGTGGGATATAATCGTTTTCAGATTTTTTGCGTATTTGCTGAATATCATCTGTTTAAACCATACTACTTTTGTACAAAATTTCATATATATAGATTTTCGTATAATTTTAAAACAGTTTTATATCAATTTCTCGAGACAGGAATGATATAGATAGATGTCTTTATATGTTTCGTTCAACGTCTGAGATTCTCAGGTTTTTATCCTACACCCACTTTCATTTTTCCTATACAGTCCCTTTTAGTGTATTTAATGTCGATAAAAACAAATGGATTTACAATACACTCATTAAATAACTAGTTAAGTGAAATGTGTCTGTTTACACTGAAAAATTGCTGTGTTCCATGCTTATTGGACAATTAAAAGTCATAATTTAATTTAAAAGTCGTATTCCTATTTCAGAGTTTTCCGGTTATCACTGTATGTATAAATGTTTCTAAAGTACAATTGTCCATGTTACACTTATTTTATTGGAGGGGAGGGGGGGGGGGGGATTAAACAACTAAATATGTTAATTCATATTCATTTATCCATTAAATCAAAAAATTAATATTTTACTTTTTTTTAGAAATAACAGAAAAATTGAATCATTTTGAAATTCAATTGATATTTGTACTGATTTTCGGGCAGATTTGATTTATCAAACTATATCAAGTAAATTCTGCTCTCCTTATGAATAAAAACATGACCGCATCGAAACAAAATACTTGTGCCAGCATTGCAGCTAGAGATGGGCGCGGGAATATCAAGCAAATTTAACTTTCATTAAGAATATGAACATACATGACCAAATCTAATTAAAACATTTGTTCCAGCTTTCTAGTTGGTCCATTTGAAACAAAATTAGCAGATTAACAAATACCACAAAGGAATTAACAATGCATGATCTTAAAAAGAATTTTCAGCGTTCATTTGTCAACTGACTCTAGCTAGTGAACTGACTCTAGCTAGTGAACTGACTCTAGCTAGTATATGATTCTCACTTTTCAACAATAAATTCATTTTCTTTCAAAGAGAATTATTTTGACTTTTCGGATGACCCTCCAAGCAAAGATGGCAATATGCCCGATTAACAACGGTACCCTAGAAAGCTTTGTCTGATCAAGTATGAATAAGATATAAATGTTTTTGTTTCTTTGAAATGTTTATTTTCATTCGATCGTAGTTTCTTTGAGAATGTAACTTGCGCATTCATTGATTATAAGAAGTAATGGAGAAACTAACAGCAAACAATTTTCGAGTCAGAAAATGGTATCTTCCACATTTTGGATCAAATTAAGGTTTCAAGCGTACCGTTGTAAATCAGGCATTGCCATCTTAGCATGGAGGGTTACTTGAAATTACACTTACAGTCCCTTTAATAGGAATTGAAGAGAAATTAAAGAGGGAGTAACCAAATAGGATATAACAAAATGTATGATGAACCAGCTGGTAATTTACCTAATGAAAGCCATGTTTTGTTAAACAATGGATTCTTGTCCTCATCTTCTAAACCAGAAATATCTAAATTTTAATTCATTATTTCAGGAGATTTATCATCTAGGAATAAATAAATAGGGTTACAAAACGAGGAAAGGGAGGCAGCCTGTATCTGCATCGGTATGCAGCATGCCTTCTTGTGTACCTTTGACTGTAACAGCACGCAGAATGCTGTATTGTGTATCTGTAATCGTACCAGTATGCAGCATGCTGTATTGTGAATCTGTAACTGGTATCGGCATAAAGCATGCTGTTTTGTGTACCTGAAACTGTACCAGTATGCAGCATGTTGTATTATGTACATTTAACTTTACCAGTATGCAGATTGCTGTATTGTGAACATATAACTGTACTGCAGTATGCAGCACGCTGTATTGTACACCTGTAACTGTATCGCAATGCAGCAGTTGTATTGTTAACCTGCACGGGTATTGGCATAAAACATGCTGTATTGTGAACCTATAACTGTACCAGTATTCAATATTCAGCATTGTGTACCTGTAACTGTATCGGTATGCAGCATTCTTTTTTTTGTGTACCTGTAACTGTGCTGCAGTATGCAGCATGCTGTATTGTATACCTGTAACTGTATCGGTAAACAGCATGCTGTATTATGTACCTGAAACTGCATCGGTGTGCACTATGCTTTATTGTGTACCTGTAATTGTTCCAGTATGAAGCATGCTATATTTTGTACCTGTAACTGTATCGATATGCAGCATGCTGTATTGTTCAGCTGTAACTGTATCGGTATGCAGCATGCTGTATTAATTACCTGTAACTGTATCGGTATGCAGCATGATATAGAAACCCAGACCGAATGCAACAATGAACATAGAAAACCACATAAGGAACAGGAGAAATGAATTCAATACTTTAAAATTAATATTAAATATTTTTTCTAAGAAAACAAATAATTCTAATTTAAATTTTTTTTCATTAACAATACAATCTTATGCATAAAAAGTAAAAATATACAAATAAGGGCCTTTATAAAATGTTTTTTATCTATTGAATTACGAAAAACATAAGTACTCTGAAATTTTAACACCTCGCATAAAAAGTCCCTCGTCCATCATGTTTTTGATGTTATCTAAAGTTTGTTTTAGAATGTTAAAAACACAAAATATTTTTTTTTGGATAAATTTCTTCCGTAGCTTAGTAAAGAAAATAATTAAAGTGAAGAATTTGACAATTATTGTAGATAAAATATTAATTTCCTTTGTAAAACATGGTGACATATATGTTGAGATGGTGCAACTTCGGGTGTCTAAATAAAATCTTTGTTACCATGTTGTTACCAGGGTGCAAATTATTCAGAAGAACCCCCCATAAGGGGGGAAATGATTTTGGATGATTGGGTTGCAGGGGNATTTTAGAGGGAAAGGGTAAAATTAGACATCAAAAGGCAAGTTATTTCATACTTTTTAATTATTAAATCCCCAATAAAGCAAATAAAACCCTAAAAAAAGTATTATCATTTCTGGGGGGAATAAAATAATTTTTCAAAGGGGGGGGGGGAATTTTTCAAGAAAATATACACCCCTGCTTGTGAATACACATTATGCTACATTCCCCAATTTGGTTCCAAGATTGGAATAAAAATATAATTTCTTTTTAATGCTAGAAAACAGTGAATTAGTTTTCCCTCGTGAGATTTATTTACATTATGTTCTCTGTCAACCATGTTTTGTCATAGATAGATAGCGCATAAGACGACATCTTTCATCTTGAAAGATATACATAAATTTACAGAGATGTTTTAAAGATATATAGATTAACTAGGTCGGTTGTGAACATTGGCTGTTCTTATAGTTATGTCATTGAGTACTTGTGGTTTAATGAGTTCTGTAAAGAGAAATTTAAGTTAGTTTAGTGAGATGAGGAAGGCCAACCACATCAATCTCTAGTCCGAACCACATTCTCCTCATTTTCTCGTCCGAACCACCTCGAAATCCTCATCCTTTCAATATTATTTTTTTGAAGTGTCCAATCCTTGAAAATAAATACATTTTTTGAAAATATGGCGACGTTAGGGCATAAAGCATGACTAGAATAAATTTTTCCAAGGATTTTGAGATGTTGGAATCTTCAAATCCACGAGAATGATGTCAATAATTATTTAGGTTAAAAGTTGAATCTCTTCTGCCTCCAAAATGGATAACTTTCACAAATAAAAATTTATACCAAAGAATTCACGTGAACATGGTCTTTAATCTTTCCATTTCAACCCATACAAAATATTCATTGATTTCTGATTTATTTACAAATAAGGTAGATTAGTTGTCCCCACTAAGAGATCACTACTGCCTGCCGCATGGTTAAAATTATAGAAAAAATAATGTTCAATTTATATTATTCAAATCATTTGCTACAATTAATTGGTCACAACCCTATGAATTCAAACAGTATTTAATCATATAAAAATTGTAAGTAATATCTCTAACCCAAATTCAGCTGAAATATTACAAAAAGTTGTTTACATCGAGTTTGATAATGTTTTGCGGCATTTTCCGCGAAAGAAAGGGCTCTTGATATAGACGCTTTTTTGTAGAACATCGTTTATGGAGCATTTTCATTTTTACACAAATCTAAAATTTAATTGGAAAAATTTTATATTTAATCTATGCCCTAACGTCGCCATATTTTTAAAAAATGTATTTATTTTCAAGGATCGGACACTTTAAAAAATAATATTAAAAGGACGAGGATTTCGAGGTGGTTCGGACGAGAAAATGAGGAGAATGTGGTGCGGACTAGAGATTGATGTGGTTGGCCTTCCTCCCCTCGTTTAGTCCTTCTTCAGCTCTCGTCAATATGATATATTGCTCAGTGAAATATTGTTGCTCAAATAGTTCCATTCTCGGAGTTATTTTACACTCTATTATGAAATCCATTCAAACACCAAACCACCCCGCTTATCATTGAAGTACACTTTGACCCCTAGAAGTATGAGTATAAGCTATCTATGTTTATTTATTTATCTAAGTGTTTTGTGTGTAAATCATAGAGAATAGAATATATAGAGAGGAATTTACTAGAAAAAAGTGTAAAACGGCCATTTTGTTGTACTGTTTCCATACTGCAGGTTTACTTCACATATTTATGCTATATAACCTGTTGGGTCTTGGAATATCATTTTATAGAAAATCTAAAATTATTGTTTAAAGAAAACCAAATTATGAAATAGGCTGGTTTCATAATTGACCAATGATCATTTAACATAGACTCTATGCCTTCCACTTTACAAACGATGATTTTCCGTTATAACTATAAATCAAATGATGTTTTTATTCACCTAATTCATTATAAAGTTTATTTAACAATTAAAAAAATTCGAAATTTAAATGGATAGTTTAGGGAACATACTGTATTAATGTACTCTACTGCATATAATTTGTGAACATTTACATGATTTGTACACTTTGAACTCCCTTTCAGGCTGAAAGGGACTGACAAAATTCATACCGAGAGATTCTTTTAATTCCTCTCTATATATTCTATTCTCTATGGTGTAAATATTTGATTTTGTTATTCAGTATAATTACTACCTCAAGTACCCGGCGTTGCCTGTAGAGATTTTTGGGAAAAATTTTGAATAAAAAAATATTTTTTTCAAAAGTATAGTATTTTTTAGCCTCTGTCACACATGGTTACCCCAGCCAAGAGTTTCCTCAAACACAATTTCGTCAATTCGGTTCAACCGTTTGTCCACCCTTATCTACATATATATGAGCAAAGAGCTATGATATAAAGATATAAGATTTTTTTTATTTTACAAGAGCATTTGGGACACAAAGTAATTTTGAAAAGTTGTCACTTTCCAAGAATATATATTTACAACATGGCATGTGTGTGTTGAGGGGAGGAAGGCTGAGGACAACAATTTCTCGTCCGAGCCATATTCTCCTCATTTTCTCGTCAGAGCAACCTCGAAATTCTAGTCCTTCCCATTGATAGAAATGTTCATCTGTAGATAGAACATCGTTCATGGAGCATATTAATTTTTTAACAGATTTAAAAATTGCTTGGGAAAATTTTTATTTTTTTTGCCCTCGTCGCGAGATTTTCATAAAAAATGTTATCTGCAAAGGTGGGACATTTAAAAAATGTTATCTGCAAAGGTGGGACATTTAAAAAATGTTATCTGCAAAGGTGGGACATTAAAAAAATGTTATCTGCAAAGGTGGGACATTAAAAAAAATTTTTTTTTGGAAGAACGAGGATTTGGAGGTGGTTCGGATGAGAAAATGAGGAGAATGTGTCTCGGACGAGATATTGTTGTGGTAGGCTTTCCTCCCCTCGTGTGTTCATAATTATAATGTTTTATAAAACTCTGTGATTACCTGCCAATCATTGTGATTAGTTCCGTCCAGGAGAATACTAATTTTATTCATTATAATTTATAGTTAGTTCGACTCATTTTCATTTTCTTCATTCATTGTTCGTGAATGACCCATTTCGATCGTTTTTTTTCAATCGTTCAAAAAGATTAATTTAATTTGTTTTCAAAAGTATTTTTCATTTTCCATCTATTTCTCACTGAATGGTCGTTCAGTCAAATTTTTCTTTCAGTAAAAAAAAGACAGTTTTTTTTTCAAATTTTTGTTCAAAAACATCGTTTTTTCAGTAAAAATATATTATTATTTAAAAGTTTGTTCCAAAGAAATGGTTCGTTCAGTAAAAAAACGACACCCTTTTACACATAACTTTTCGTTCATTCTCAAAAATTTCGTTTCTTCAAAAAAACTATGCCCATCTCTATTTATAGTATCAGTACTAACAAAAAGTAGTGCCTTCAGTAGGTTTTTTTTTGGGTCGTTTTATGCCTATATTTTCTTACATGCTCGAATTTTGTCATCATAAAGAAAAATTTTTTATTGGCATTTACTTTTCTTTCAGTATGTTAAATTTTATTTCCAAAAGAAATTAAGTGCAAAAAAACTACTCAAAAACAATGAAAATACGATCGTGTTGTAACAATAGTTGTTCGCTTTTTTATTATGAAGATAAAGCAAAATTTAAGAAAAGCAGGCAGAAACATATTAGGTACAATTTTGAATTTTTTTTCTCATTTTTTTAAACGATCCAAAAAGATTAACAACACTTACAAAAAGTGACCATCTAGGAAAAGATGGCAATGTCCGAATTGTACCCTTCAGATCTTAACATTTTCAAACATGAGGAAGAAGAGTTTCTCCATTGAAACCGCAAATAAAAAGATCAGTTTAAAGAAACAAAAACATTTCTATCCAATTTATACTTAATCAGAGAAAGCTTTCAAGTGTACCGTTGTTTATCAGACATTGCTATCTTTCCATGGAGGGTCACTTGAAACTATTCTTGTACAGTCCCTTTGATAAGGTTTTTTATTATTGTTTGGGAAATTAAATGATAGAGAAATGAAATGACAGAAAAACGAAATGACAGTGAAATTAAATGACAGGGAAACTAAATGACAGGGAAATTAAATGACAGGGAAAATAAATGACAGGGAAATTAAATGACGGGGAAAATAAATGACAGGGAAATTAAACATCATTTCAGGGGAAAAGGTTGTAAACAGAGGACTATCTCAAGTGTATACCAAAGTTTTCAAGTCTCCCAACTAAATCATCGAAATACTTTCGTTCAAATGTCAATCCCAATCCAAAAAGGAAAGTGCACAAAATAGTAAATAAAACTTTTTGAGCTCAGACCCAGAAGTATAAGCTTAAAATAAATCAAAACTAGAAAATATATAATAAATCATTCCTAGAGCAATGGCCGCCAAATGCCGATTAACTGCAAAGTCATCTTCTGTATTGTTACAGAGAATATACACAACTAAAACTAAAAAAATATGTTGATTGCATGCTATATTTTCCGTTTTTTCATTAAATAAATAATAAGTTATCAAAGATTTTTGAATTTTTTGGGTTAATGACCTATTTACAGAAGATTTGTGAATATGTTTTTGGCCAAAACTCAAATTTATTCTATAGCTTTGCAATATAAATAGGTGTAAACCTTTGATATTTCAAAATTCAAACTTTTGATCTTACAGAATATTTAAAACTCGGAATTTCTTGTTTGAATTAGTTAAGGTCTACGCGCCATCAGGTTGCAAGGATATACGGTTTAAAAATTTCAAAAAATTAGTGCTCAGTTTCTTTACCAATCATTGCAACTTCGATCCAATTCTCTAGACTGCACAGATATCTCTTCATAGATACTAACAGTTGTAGCAGCTCACGGAGTACCAGGATACAGAGCAGCACTAGATAGATAGATTTATATATATATTTAAACCATGTTTATTGACTGATGAGGATCGAGAGATCTGAAACATTTTGTATTGATAAATATGAAAACTGAAAAGCTGTTCTAATTATTGCTTTATAGTTATATATAAAGATAGATAGATATAAAGGTGGATAGAAAGATATATATATATATAGATAGATAAAAAGACAGATCACACTGCCCCGGAGGCGATTTGAAAAAGCTTTAACGACCAACTCAATTCCGTATACTAAAAGATGAATGAAACGCATGGGAATACAAATCTGTTTTCGTCGAATTATTTCATCGAGCCCATTGGATATTAAGACCAAAATAGAGCACTGGATCTAAAATAGAGAAACTGTAAGGAAGCCTATTAATCATAAAAAAATATTAAGTCTATTTTTGTTTATATTGTGTTTTAAAATCCCTATTTTACAGTTTTGAAGGAAAAGAAAAAAGAATTTTATACAAATTAATGCTTTGAGTGACCTATGCATGCTGGATTTTTGACCTTATGAAAATACATGATATTTTAGCATGATACCAGTTTATGAAAATATCAAGCTATTTAACAACTTTACATTTCTGTTGGTTTCCATTTTACTGAATCAAAGAAAGTGTGGAAAAAGATATTTTTTTTTATCTACTCATCATAAGATCAGAAATTTTTAATATTTTTATTTTTCAAATTAATAACAAACAATGTAGGAAAAATACAAGATGCAAATATTTAATTGTAGATATTAAGGATTTTTTTGTCACAAGGTATTGAAGTTGTATACATTAATATCTTCATAAATCTTTCTGTCGCAACTTTTTCTTACATTTCAAACTCATTTTTATCCATTGCAGCAAATGTTTAGTTGGAGGAGCTGTTCTCTTCAATGCACTGGAGCTACATTTATTATAGCGTTTTCAACATTTATATATTTGGGTTCCCCCTGACATGATCAAAATCATTTTAAACTGCAATTTTTATTCTTGTAACTTGTGAGTGAAACTCATTTTAACACAAATATACCTAATATTTATTCTTTCATCTATTTATTTATAAATATTTCAATTTAGATTTTCCGGTCCAGCGGAATTTTACGCGGCAATTCGGAATGGGACCGAGTTTGATTTGAGTATTTTCTACTCATTTTCCTGCCGGTTTCATACGCGTAAATATGCTTATTAGACAAATGATCAAAATCACTTCCGGGGCAGTGTGATATAGACAGATAGATAGATAGATAGATAGATAGCTAGATAGATAGACAGTAGATAGATAGATGGATGGATAGATAGAAATAGATGGATAGATAGATAAAAAAGATAGATATATAGATATAGATATAGATATAGATATATATAGATATAGATATAGATATAGATATAGATATAGATATAGATATAGATATAGATATAGATATAGATATAGATATAGATATAGATATAGATATTAAATTTCGAATTTTCCAAAATGTATAGGAAATATTAAACTTCCATGTTAAAAGTTATACAATTGATGAAATTACGTTTTCTGTTGCGTCGATTATTACAAATATTTCTTTCTTTTAAAAAATATTTAAATTTAAAAACGTCACGTTATAAAGTATACAATGTTGAATGAATTTGAATCAATTTTAATAAAACCTTACTATTGAGCATTGACAGCCTGCTTAAGACTAATTAGCCACTATTAAATTGCTATGGAAGTGCCTTACATACTAAATATTACCTATAAGAGGAATGTTAAGATGAGAAGATAAGTGCCTAACATACTAAATATTACCTATAAGAGGGATGTTAAGATGAGAAGAAAAGTGCCTAACATACTAAATATTACCTATAAGAGGGATGTTAAGATGAGAAGATAAGTGCCTTACATACTAAATATTACCTATAAGAGGAATGTTAAGATGAGAAGATAAGTGCCTAACATACTAAATATTACCTATAAGAGGGATGTTAAGATGAGAAGAAAAGTCCCTAACATACTAAATATTACCTATAAGAGGGATGTTAAGATGAGAAGATAAGTGCCTAACATACTAAATATTACCTATAAGAGGGATGTTAAGATGAGAAGGCTGGATGAAGAAAATACAAACCATCCCAGATATTTGAAGAATATCAGGAATGTTTGAGGTCATTTGGGACACCAGACCCTGCCCTCGCCTGCTAGATCTTACCCCTAAAAAATATAAAGGATATTAATGAGGTCATGTTGGGACACCAGATCCTGCCCTCGCCTGCTAGATCTTACCCCTAAACAATATAAAGGATATTTGAGGTCATTTGGGACACCAGTTCCTGCCCTAGTCTGCAAGATCTTTCCCCTAAAAAATATAAAGGATATTTGAGGTTATTTGGGACACCAGACCCTGACCCTGCCTGCTAGATCTGACCCCTGAACTATAACAGAGTGGAAAAAAAACATAAAATATTTAAAAAATCAATTGTTTAAAAATTTAAGGTTTAAAACATCACTTTTATTTTCAGGGAGTCACAGATTAAACAATAAAATTTCCGTTATTTTTGAAACCCCGATATGGGCAAAAAATATTCGGGATTTTCAGGAATTTTGTGAAACCATTTTTAAACTGTTTACAATGTTTACTGTTCATTTCAATTGTCCGCTATAATTTGCACACAGTTTTTAGATAGAAAAATTTGGATTACTCTGTAATCTTTTTCAAACAAAGGTTTTAAGGGAAAACGTTTTCTAAATTTACATCCCGCTAAAAAAATGTCACTTGAAATTAATTCTACAATACCTTTGAATTAGGCTAACTTTACCTTCTTTTGACCGAATAATATTTATAATTATGAATACTAAGAAGTGAAATTACTTTTTCATAGATACATATTTTCAGTTTTACTGATTTTCAAACCTTTGTAAGAAAAAAAAACAATTTTAAACTTTTTTAAATTTTGAGATTTCAAAACGATAAGGAAATCATTTTAGGCGAACAAATGCATTTCGGGCTTGATTCGTTATTCATTATCACTCCATATTTTTACAAAAATTTCGTTTTAAATCTTGGTTTCCAAGTTAAATATTAGTTATGTGAAACTATTTCCACTTTTAAACTGCTTCAAGGGGAATTACAAAAATTGAAAATGTTAAATAATAAATTTATGTTTCTGCAAAAGTAAAATCAGGGTTGTATACTGTATAATGTATATTTTCAAAAATTACCACATGAAATTATTTTTAAATATCTGGGGGGAAAAAAAGTCAAATTTTTTTTCCCATCCTTTTCATACTTTTAAAATAAAAATGTATTAATTGTTTTTACCTAAGTTAGCAAAAAAAAAATTATTTTCAAACAAGGGGTGGGGGTAGGATTAAGATTTTTTAAATGAGGAAAATTTACACTCCTGAGTAAAATTCTGCACCAAATCATAAATAAAAGTAACTTTAAGAAGAAATTCTTATTAAAATAGAGATAGAATGATTATATTGACTTCATTCGATTTTATAACTTTATCCTTGAATTCTGCAATGTTAAACATCGAAATATCTTGAGCCTTCAGGTTGCAAAATATATAGATTAAAACAATTAAGGATCTTTTGGCGCCTGGCGATTGATCTTGAAGAAAAAACGAACATTAAATTTGGCATAGTCACCCTTTTTCCTTTATAATTTTAAGGACGTAATTTCAAGTGACCCTCCATTTATAAATTGGCCTCTCTTATTTATAACGGTACCCTACCTTCAAGCCTTCATCTCTCTTATTCATAACGGTTCCCTACCTTCAAGCCTTCAACTCTCTTATTTATAACGGTTCCCTACCTTCAAGCCAATTCAACTCTCTTATTCATAACGGTACCCTAACTTCAAGCCTTCAACTCTCTTATTTATAACGGTTCCCTTCCTTCAAGCCTTCAACTCCCTTATTCATAACGGCACCCTACCTTCAAGCCTTCAACTCTCTTATTTATAACGGTTCCCTACATTCAAAACTTCAAGTCAATAACAATTAGTTGACTTTTCCTTCATATCTGCTGCACAAATCCGAGAGTAAAGAAATTGAGTCTTTGCCACAAACTCAAATTTTATAATCCCTCTATCTTTGCAACCCAATGTCGTAGACCTTAGATATTTCAAGCTATACATTCTGTTAAATCAAATAGTCTAAGTTTATAAAAAGGTTTAAATATCATCAGGTTGCAAAGATATAGAAATTATAAAATTTGATTAAAGCAAAAATACAGTTTCTTTGTAGAAAAACCACTATTAAAAATCATAAATTTTAAGAAAGAAAAAAAATTTATAGTCATTCATGATCAGACTTAACTGTTCAGTGAACCATGCCTTCTCTATATATTGAGGATTGCTTCAGCTTTAAGTTAGGTATTTAGTACTTTAACAAATAGAGCTTACCATAATCAGGGTCTTCTTTCTGTGGACTCGAAATTATCTCCTTTAAATCCCTAAAAATTATCCAAAATCATTCAATAAAAAATCCTAAAATGGCTTTCTACAGCGGATATGGGAACTGCTGTTAGCCACACTCCTTAAAGGGAGTGATCGGCTATGTAAGGTAGTTGAACTGAGTATGCAGTGTTGTGGAAAACTTCTTTCGGATTCGTTTGAGACATATTAAACTTTTTAAAGATCTGTAAATCCTGAGTTTGAGCGCAAATTCGACGTTCAAAACTCCTACTTTGGGGGTGGATACGTTATCAGAATTAGTTTTTTTTAAATTATGTTGAAGAATGTGCCTTAAGCTGGCAACTCTTGTATTGTGAATATCGAGATCAATGCTTGATCTTCTATTTTGTTAATCTACAGATTTTTTCAATCTTTATTCAATATCCATTAAAAGGTCTAAGACTCAACCAATCAGAGTGTTGTATGCAGAAAAAAATAACCAATCAAAAGCCGGAAAACTAATCAGGTTACTATCAGTGATCGGAACCCAGGAGGGACATCCAAAAAGATAGGCAGAAAATAAAAAATTGTCCATAGATGGAGATCGATATAACCAAGCCATTTTATAAGTACATCTATTGCTTCTAGATATAATTAAGTGATAAATAACGATTGTATAAAAGGAAAGGAAGTTCAGTAGGTCTTCTCTGGTTCCAAGATCCGACACAACTGATTTTGCAGATTTTATAATCCTCTTTCGGGGATTTCATTTCCTCTACACCATCAGGATTATGGGTTGCATTTAAGGTGTCTCAATATTTATCATTCCACTTCCTTTAGATGTGCACAAGATAAATTTTGGATGTGAAAACAACGACTAGAAATAACGATTTTTTTCACAAGGTTGAAATTATGATTTTGACAGTTTTTTCAGTTATGACTTTTTTGATTTTTGTATTCAGTATCTAAGAGCCTGAAATTTGACAAAATTTCAAGTTTGTATAAGCACATGACATATAAGGTCGAGAAGGAGGAGATCCAATTATAAAAAAAGTCCGTTTAGGAAGATAAACCGAGAACTAACATATCGTTGTTTACAAATACGTGCACTGCAGTAACAAGGAGGAATAGCACTAAGTTTGTTTACATTCAGCTCTGCTGTTTACTTTTAAGTTTTCTGTAAACTGAGATACGTAAATCAGGATAAAAGGTATTCAATACAATATTTTTCATCTCTGGCGTAGTTTCTTAAGTTTCCTTTTGAAGAAATAATTTACCTGGTCCAATCCTTGATAATTAGTAGGGTAGTCAAAATGCACAGAGCAATGTAGAGTACAAAAAATGCATCTCTAAAATAAAATTCTTTACTGGAAGAGCTTTAACTGTAATATTTACTATCATAATACTGAAAATTTTGTTATTTTATTTTAGAATAGTTGTAATTTCTTTCACTGAATGTATTTAAAGCCTTTCTTTTGGATGGTTTATTCTTTTTTGGTGTTTTTCTACCATGTTGCTATAATTGATTTATTTTAAATAAAAAATTCTAATAATTATGTAACCGGTTTATTTCTTGGAATGCACCCATAATATATTTAGAAATATATAAGTTACAAGCTGAAGTGCCCAGCGTTGCCCGTGGAATTCTAAAAATACTTGAAAAAAGATTTCTAATTTTTAAGAAAAAATAATTTAGCCTATGTTACCCTCAAGCACCCAAGGGCTCCCTTTTTTTCAATTTGGTTCAGCTGTTTGACCAGCTTTGGCTAATACAAATATCTGAGTGAAGAGCTTTATTATATATATATAACAATTACAAATTTAAAAAAACGGCAAAATTTCTGATTGAAATAATATTATATCACAATTATATAAAATTCATCCGTATTTTGGAATAAAAGAATTAAGAATATTTTATGCATGCAATTCTGAAATCCAATAAATTCTGCTGCTATATCCTCAAATTGCACTACATCTATAATTTGCAAAGAGAATGTGAACTAGGGAAATTAACTCGATTAATCAAATAATATCCAAGAAAAAGAGATAAAGACGGAAAATTATTGTTTTTTTGCTACTTCATATATTTTTTCCCGTACTGGAAATGCGCAAGCTACTTTTGTACAGAACCCTCGATCTTGAAAATAAAACTTTTTAAAATATTTAAACATGAATATCTAATTGTAGAGAACCCTCGATCTTGAAAATAAAACTTTTTAAAATATTTAAACATGAATATCTAATTGATCAGACAAAGCTATTAAGAGTACCCTTGTTAATCGGACATCGGACATCGGAGGGTCACTTGAAATTTCGCTTACAGTCTTTTTAAAATGCGTTGTCTGATCAAAATTGTTTAATATATTTATATATCTACCTTCTCTTTAAACATTTGGATGAAAGGAATTGAGTCTTTGCCACAAACTTAAATTATCTATATTTTTCCAGTCTGATCATGCGAACCTTTCATATTTCAAACTTAAGTTATTCGATCTTACAGATGGCATAGTTTGAAATATCTAGGGTCTACGACATAGGGTTGCAAAGATATAGGGATTATAAAATCAGAGTTTGTGGCAAAGACTCAATTCCTTTCTAATTGGCTTAGTTGCAAGTATAGGTTAAAAAAATGACGATATCTTCCACTTTATAAATGAGATCAAGATTTCAAGGAAATATATGATTTACAGAGACAGTCCTATTAAAATGATTAAACACTAGCTTGGGAATCAAGCTATGAACATGTCCATGGGTCTCCAAATTTCCCCAATAAAAAGTTGAGGCGAATCAGTCCAGTGATTCCTAAGTTATGAGAGGGCATACAAACAAACAAACAAGAAAGATTACTACTTTATATTTATAGATACCTTATCGCTGGTTTCTGACCAACCCCTCCGAACTGTTCAAAGATGAACCAAGTTAGAATAAAAACGTACAGTAGGTACAACCGTAGGTTCCTGCAGTACAATTGTAGGTTTATTATACAGAGTTACCCACAAAGGAGGAGACTAAGAATACGACCAGAAACTCTCAAAATATGATAATCCCAAGTTTAAATCTAATCTTCTGTCTTAAATTTAGTATTTAATTGCATATTTTATGATTTTAAAAAGAAAAAAAAGTTGATATTGGCAAGGAGTCATGAGTAGCATAAATTCGCTTAAGTCGTCTCTGAAGTCTCATCCTTTGTGGGTAACCCAGTACGTTTACCACTAATCACTAAAATTCACTAGTTTTGCCTAGTATTCATAAAATGATTCAAATTGATAAATATACAATATTTATAAAATGAAAATTAACAATGTTTTAAACATTTATCTTTAAACTTTAAAATTTTCTTAATAAATCTAAGATGGTAAAAAAGTGTAAAAAAAAGGGAAAAAATAACCTGTTAAAGTAAGGTCGCATTCTTTCCCATTTGAACCAGAGAAAACTTGTGATCACTGGGTGCTTCAAAAGATGTCTTAAATATATTTATTTAAAATGTTTACTTTTAATCGGAAGCCAAGGGAGGGGCAAGAGAATATGGCATCCTTGTAGGAAAAAAGGGTAATCATAATTCTCGTATTTATATAATGAATTGCTGATACTAAAACAATTAAATAAATAGTAGCAGATAAGGTCTTTCTAATTTTTATCCTTTTTTTAGATGGAAGATTAAGTTTTTATTTAAATATAAACGAATTGACTATTTTCCACAAACTTAAAGCTTTTGATTCCTAATTTTATGCAACGTGATGGTGTAAACTTTCGATATTTTAAACTCAGATTATTTAATCTAACAGAAATCATATCTTAAAATATCTCTAAGGTCTACGACATTGGATTGCAAAGATATAGGAATTAGAAAATCAAAGTTTGTGGGAAAGACTCAATTCCTTTGAATTAGAAAATTTAACACTTGGCTTATATACTACCATCTTTTTCGATCATATCTTATAATAAAAATCTTTTAGTAATTTAATAGTTTTTTCTTCTTGCGCAGTTTACAAATAAAAATTTTTTTGAAAAAAATGCTTAAATAAATGTAATAAACCTGTGCTGTTTACTTTGTCCCATATACCAAAGGGATTCTGTTTCAGGCAAAGCTGTCTTTCTCTCCTAGAAAACAATGGAATGAACCAAAAAAAGAGATTTCTTTTGAAAAAAAAACACCAAGACATGTTCAAATTCCAAATAGCAAAGAACACTGGAAACTGCGGTTCCTTTCAAGTGTCGAACTGGCTGTTTTTTACCTGAAGCAGGGTGTAAATGTACATTTAACAGCTTTTTACAGACTATAGAGAGAAAAATGGTACATTCTACTAAATAAAAAATACCCTTCTGTTTAGATTGAAAATAATTGGATTACTATAAATTTATTTTGTATTCGGCACTAGCCCTTTATTCTGGCAATCCCAAATCCCTGCTCGTAGCAGAAATACTTTGTTTGCTTTTGTTATTCAGCGCCAAAGTCCATTTATTTTATTATGTTGTTGTTTTTATTTTGTATTATTATGTTTTATTTAATCTTTATAACATTTTGTACGCATCAGAGCTAAATTTGTAACGGTCGATCAGACCTTTAAGCCCTTGACCGTATTGTGAAAAAAGCATCATAAATTCATATGTTGAAATAAATTATTAATTTATTATCATATTATTATCAATACTATCATTATTATTTTTTTTAAACCAAGCCCCCCCATTCATATGTAATGTATCAGGGGGGACTTTAAAAAAAGGGTTTAAAATTATTGATTAAAAATCTTGCCTTGTTATCATTTATCTTGTTAACCTCCTGGTTTAGTGGCTGAAGCGCTTCATCTAGTTCAAGGGGAGGACGGTAGGGCTCAGGTAGACTCTAAACACAATCAGATCTTTATTATCAGTTCTAAAATCGGCATTGATTGCTAAGATCGTTATTCTCAGTTCTAAGATAGTTATTGTCAGTTCTAAGATCGCTATCATTCGAAGGTCGCATAGTCAGTTCTTAGATCGTTATTTTCAGTTCTTTGATCGCTATGGTTCTAAGGTTGTTTTTGGTCATTTCTAAGAACGCTATTGCCAATTCTAAGACCATTATTGCCTGTTATAAGATAATCATTGTTCTAAGGTTATTATTGCCAGTTCTGTGATAGCATTCGTTCTTGGGTCGCTATTGTTATAAGGTCGTTATTGCCAATTCCAAGGTATTGCCAGTTATAATATCATTATTCTCCGTTCTTAGATCGTGATTGCCAGTTATATGATCGTCAAGGTTCTAAGCTCGTTTTTGCCTGTTTTGAGATCGGTATTGTTCTAAAGTCGTTTTCGTCAGTTCTAAGATCGTTATTCTCTGTTCTTAGATCAGCATTGCAGTTTTAAGATCATTATTGCCAGTCGTTTTTGTCATTTATAAGATCGTTAATGCCAGTTTTAAGATCGCTTTTGTCAGTTCTAAGATTATTATTTCCAATTCTAAGATCGTTATTCTCAGTTCTAAGATCGTTATTGACAGTTCTAAGATCGTTATTACCAGTTCTAACTTCTCAGATTGTAATTGCCAGTTCTGGATTGTTATTTTTGGTTTTTAGATCATTATTGCCAGTTCCTAGATCGTTATTCTATTTTCTAGTATCGTTATTGCAAGTTCTAACTTCTTAGATTGTTATTGCCAGTTCTAAGATCGTTATTGTTCTAAGGTCGTTATTGCCAGTTCTAAGATCATTATTACATTCTACGACTGTAAATCTCTGACCTGTGGATCTGGGGCCAAAAAAGAATATTTGAAAGTCAAAGAAAACTCTTTATCATGAACTTCACCATCGCCTTATCAATGTTATTATTATTATTAATATTAATTTTATAGGAATAAGTATTATTATTATCATTATTATTATTATTAATACTAATTTTATAGGAATAAGTATTATTATTATCATTATTATTATTATCAATATTATCAGCAGTAGTAGTAGTACCGTATTATCATTATTATCATTATTAATATCATCAGCAGTAGTAGTAGTACAGTATTATTATTATTATTATTATTACCAACAGTCAAACGCATAATTCAAAAGAAAAATATTATATAAGCGTGATTAGTATTTCCAAAAAGTGCTACATTTGACCCAGGTTGGTACAGCTTATGTACCAAAAAAAACTATGTTTTTCACTTATTGCCAAATCAGGACCAAATAATCATTTTAAATTTAGTCCTATATTTAATCTGATAATTTATTTTGTGGGAAAAACTAAACATAATTCATTATTTTTTTTCATTTTAACTAATTTTTTGAAAAGAACTAACTGTGAATTTTATTGAATTGATTTGTAAGAATTGTTTCCTGAAATTCTATTATTTTTAAATTCTTGATAAAATAATAAATATAATATTAATTAAATTACCAATTATACAGTCTTGGTCCAAGAATTCTTCCAGCAGACGTGGACAAATCCTATTTTTAATTTAAACTTTTAAAATTCAATTTAACATTTAAACCGAATTTTAGGATGTCCAATCCTTTAAGTTACATAGGACTAGGGTTTCAATCGAACGAAAAGTTTCGCGAAAAAATGCAAAAATTTTCGCTCGTATTTCGCAAACTTTACGTGAAAAATATGGAAGCAAAGAATTTTAAATTCAAAATTTTTTCGCAAAATTTTTGCATTTTTCATTTCGCGAAATATACTAAATTTTTGCGAAACGATTTTCCTTGTTCGCTGGAAACCCTCCACATAGGACTGGGCAAAGAACTGTTAAGGAACCGGAGGTTTTTAAAAAATTAACAGAAAGCCCGTTAACGAGCGGCAAAAACATTAAATTTTATATTGTTAACAAATGGAAATATTTGTTTTTAAAGTCAAGAATTAACTATTGAAAAAAAAGGAAACGGATGTATTTAAAAATCGGTGAATCTCGTTTTTTTAGGCTTAAAATTGCATGAAACATGCCTCGCTGATTTGTTGAACTAAAAAAATGTTATGCATTTTGATGGGTTTTTTACGTGTTTTGATGTTTTCTAATGTTTGTCCAGCTATTTTTACATAAATTAATAGTTAACTATTCACATAGTCACATAGTTAACTAATAGTTAACTATGTGACGATAATGCTGTTATTAATATTGAGATGGTTGGGAAAATACCGCTCAGGAAACGAACATTCCGTTTTCCTAAAAAAACAAACAGCTACCAGAAAAAAATGTAACAATTTTAACTGACTGTTAACAAACGGAAAAAGTCAGAAAGTGCCCAGCACTAGTTACATAAATAAATAGTAACATAACCATCTATTAAATTCTACCTTGAAATAGGTATCTCTCCCCACATATTCTTTATTCCAATGTTTGCTCCTCGTCTCAGCAAAGCTCTGAAAGTAAATAAGTGACCTTCCATGCAAATATGACAAAGCCCGATTCACAACGATACCCTGAAAACCATCGACTGATCAATGTTATGTTAATATTATTTAAATTAATCTACAGAAAACGTGTATTTACAAAAAATATGAGTAAAATTTTAATAATAAAATTTATTTATCTATTATAATTATTTGAGTTATTTTACCTCACGACATTTTGGGAACATTTCTCCGTAGCGTAATGGAGAGGGGTAACACCGGTCAAATCCTTTCTGTTCAGAACCAGGTCAATACTGCGCCTGCAAATACTTATTTACAGTCGTCGTCGTATATATCAATACAATAAAGACGACTTTATATTCAAATTCTGTTTCCTAACTAGCTTTCAAGCAGCGTGGAAACAAAGATATATATCCGATTCTCTTTATTTAGATGTAAGCTTCTAATTTGAAAAATGCTTGTTAAAAATCAGAATCTAAAGCCTAGAAACAAAAGTCGTCTTTAGTGAATTGATATAAACCCCGGATACTGTAACTTTAACTGTAAGTTTTCCGGAGTAAAAAAAGAGGGAAAATTGCACTCTTCCCATTCTTAGATAAAACTTTAACATAAGTGAATTTTGAAGAAAATCAATCGAAAGCCTAACAGGGTTTCCATCGAAATTTTTGTTGAACGAAATTCGCGAAAATGAACGAACGAAATTTTTTCATTTTCGTTCAATATTTTTGTGAATTTCGATGTATTTTCGACGAAATGTTCGACCTCATTTTCGCGAAATTTTTGTTCAATTTTCGTTCGATAAAAATCGAAATATTTCGCATCAAGAAGATTATATTTTTGCGAGAAAAATTAGATATTGAAGGAAAGGTCGAAAATTTTAACGAATTTCGCAAAAATTTCGAACGAATTCCTGAAAGTTTTGTACAAATCTCGTGAATTTCGAGAATTTCGCGAAAATGCCGAACGAATTTCGCAAATTACTCAAACAATTTTTAACGAAAATTTTAGTTTTCGTACACATTTTCGTTGGCTGAACGAAATTTTCGCGAAAGAGATTGAACGAACATTTTTAAACACTATAAAGCTTAAACCAGTAAAAAAAATTCCGGTTTACGTTTTACCAGAAAATAAAAAAATTAAGTAAAAGCTTTGTTTAATTTTCTTTTTAAAGAATGTGATTTTTAAAAATTTTCTTGAGAGCACATTATGGCCAGAAAAAAATATCCAAAATCTAAAAATACGTAATGACAATACCTGATTTTAATGTCGTCTTTGTTAAACAGAATTTCAAGGAATCTCGAAAAATCTTCCTCAATATCCTATAACAGGTCTAAAATGATTAATATGTCTCAATGAAGATCATATATGAAGATTATATAAAATATAATATGAAGATTATATAAAATATAATATGAAGATTATATAAAATATAATATGAAGATTATATAAAATATAATATGAAGATTATATAAAATATAATATGAAGATTATATAAAATATAATATTGTGGAAGACGATGCCTGGCCGCGTTGAACAAGTTCCACAAAATTCAACAGAATGAGATAGAACGGATACGGGGCATAGTACTGATAAAACACTACATGTGTGATATCATTATTAACTCTAGTTCTGAACCCTCTAGTAATAAGTTATAAGAAATATATATACTGGAAGTTATTTATGCGTTTTTATTAGAGTCTGACTCACGTCCTCTATAATATGAAGATTATATAAAATATAATGAAGATTATATAAAAGGTTAAGCTTCCTAGAAAAATTCTTTTAAAGCCCATGATCTTATCCCGACATCTTGGCAACCTAATATTAAATTTAACGAGTAAGTATTTGAACTCTATGTTTGAGAAAAATTATCAGTTTCTTTTAAAATTTGTTTAACAAATAAAAATCGGGTATTACAACGTACTATGTTTAAAATAAATGATTGAGTTCAGTCTCTATACCATATTTCTATTTTACAGTACAATACACATATATGCTAATTACATTGTTAGCTGAAACATTGCAATACAATACTATTAATAATTGAGAACGCAGTACAACAAAGTTCAGGCAGTACAACTTACTATACAGTACAATACAATACAATACAAAACAGTACAATACAGTATATTACAGTACAATACAGTACAATAGAATACAATACAGTACTATACAGTATATTACAGTACAATACAGTACAATACAGCACAGTAAGTACAACACAGTATACTACAGATAAATACATTATAATAAAGTACAATTCAGTGCAATACAGTACAATAAGGTACAATATAGTACAAGACAGTATATTACAGTACAATACAGTACAATACAGTACAATAGAGTACCCCATAGTATACTACAGTTTAAAACATTATAATAAAGCACAATTCAGTACAATACAGTACAACAAGGTACAATACAGTACAATAGAGTACAATACAGTACAATAAAGTATATTACAGTACAATACAGTATATTACAATACAATACAGTACAATAAAGTATATTACAGTACAATACAGTATATTACAATACAATACAGTACAATACAGTACAATGCATTTTAGATAATTACCTTATTGTAATTCTTGAGTAGACAATGCAGTACAGTTTCCTCTGTTCTCTCTTTAACTTGGCTCATCTCAGCTCCTGCTCTAACCAGCACCTGCACAATACAGGAATACTTAAACTGATTGTTCAGAGATTAGAAAAAAATGTTTCAGATAGCAGTTTTTTTTAAAGGGGATGTCCTATTTAGAAAAATAAAATACTTATTTATTATAACTTCTATATAAAAAAAAACAGAAATAATTTGATGCCAGTAAATCCCAAGTCTTGAAAAAAAGTTGTACCTGTGCCAGTCTATAATCTGATCTCTCCGCCGCATCAAGAATTGGACAAGACAAAGAACCGGATCCAAACCGGTTTGGGTCAGCGTTCTAACAAGATGGCGACGAATAAAAAAAATATTTATTTAAAATTTCGTTTAAATTTGGAAAGACCTAAATACTTGAGTGCAACAATGTAAAATTTTACCCACAAAGAATGAGAAATTAATTTTATTAAATATTATAACTAAAAGACCAGATTTAACCTTCGAATCATCAAATCTATGGAATTTTAGGTTGTAATTAAAGTCTCATCCTTTGTTTGTATCATTTACTATCAGAAAAATTTAAACCAATGAAAATTTAACCAATGGAAATTTAAACCCCCAAGGGAGTCAATGATAAACCCGAATGCAATGCATAGCACAATGATTTATCATTAAATACTGATGGGGTTTAAATTTTTGTATTATGTCATCGAAATCCTATTGTTATTTATTTAATAAATATACAGTAAATTAATTTCTTTATTCTTTTTTATATTTCTTCCTAACATCTTGCAACTGTCATATTCAATTATATGATTTCATTGTTAGATCATTTTTGTCGTTTTCAGCCTTCCTTATTGAAGAGTACTTGGGCAAAGTCATGAAGGCCTTTTCTGCAACACTTCTCAACTAAAAAAATCAGGATTACGGCAAATGAAAAAGGTTATAAAAAATCTTTGAAAAAATTGCTCATCAAAGTAGCATTTTTCAACGTTTCAGATGCTAATCCTAATATACCTTAAAGTTTTGAAATTATTTCCCCTTGATGTTCTTTAAAAATATATATATATATATACAAGCCTGTAATTATAAAAATACCTAAATCCTCGAATCCTCTGCTGGCATCGTGTACACTTAAACTAAGATGGCGGAACTCAAGGAACAGCTGATGAAGGTTTAAAGAATCCGGGGATACATTCGATACAATGGTTATCATCCTTTCCTAGAGCATGGAAACTTATAGACTTGTAAGATAACTTTACATAAAAACGTCTCATTTTTTTTAAAAAGCAAACAGATATGATCACTTCCCCTCTTCCTTTAAGACAATGCATGCTTGTAAACATATAAAACGAGAAATACAACATTGGACTTCGATTTATCTCTTTCAATTGATTTTATTAGATTTTGAAAAACATTCATATGGGAGATGATTATCAAAAAAGGGCCTAACCAATAATCATCTTTTTATTTTCCCTCTGGAAACTTTCATAATAATTCGCCGCCCCATCAGGAGAAATATGTACGGTGTACCCCAACGGTAAAATTGTATTTTACTCACCTTGACATTATCTTCGCGTTGTCGAGGTTTCTTAACCCTTTTTTCCAAAAATATATTGTCAAAACTTCACTAATTTAGATTTTTATATCAGAAAAATTCCAAAGATAAATTTATCTTATTTGTTAAAGTTAAGTTGCATAAGTAAATTTCTTAAGAAAAAAATATGAAAATGGCTTTAAGTTGTTTTTGTTTTTTTTTGAATTGCGAATTTTAGTTTTTACAAATATAAAATGACAATATGATTCAGAATAGTTTAAAATTCTCCAGCTTGTACCTAGTTATAAACAGTAAAAAAGTTAAATTTTAACAATACATTCCTTATAGTCCTTAGCTGAAGTTGGGGTAGGTTTTCCTTTATAAAATCTTCCACAGTTTTGCTAGTTCTGCCGACCTAGAAATATCAAAGAGATTAGATAAGAATAGAGTGGAATTAAGAAGAACAATGAGTAAAACCGCCATTTTATTGTACTGTTTCCATTCTGCAGGTGTACTTCACACATTTGTTCATCTATCCTTATTGACTCTGGAACATCTTTTTATAGAAAGTTCTTGAAAAATAATTAATTTTCTCTAAATCTGTATTATGGTGATGTACTGCGATAAATTAGTGAAGATGTTCATGAATTGTACACTTTGAACTTCTTTCCAGGCTCAAAGGGACTTAAACAATTCATACCATGGCACAGTCTTATTTCCCTTCTATTCTAATCTCTGTTCTGTGAGAAATATAGAAAAGTAAAATAAATCCAGACACCTGGGAGAAGTTTCATACATTTTTAAGACATGGGTTGACTTTAAAGTGTCGCAACCATAGAAAATAAATAAACATAGATAGCTTATGTACGCAAAATCACCAAGAATTGTACAGTCCGCGAACTCATACTTCTAGGGGTCAAAGTGTACTTCAATGATAAGCGGGGTGGTTTGATGTTTTAATGGATTTCATAATAGAGTGTAAAATAACTCAGGGACTGGCTATTTGAACAACAATATTTCACTGAGCAATATATCATATTGACGAGAACTGAAGAAGGACATGAGAAGGACTAAACTAACTTAAATTTCTCTCTACAGAACTCATGTACACCACAAGTACTGAATGACATAAGAACAGCCAATGTTCACAACCGACCTAATTAATCTATATAATAAGAATATCTTTAAAATATCTCTGTACATTTAAACCTTCAAGATGAAAAATGTCGTCTTATGCGCAATCTATCTTTATCTATGGTCGCAACGCCTTTATTTAACCTCGCAAACTCAAAAAACTTTAATTTGAAGCGTCCGCAACCTTTGAATCACTTTGTATTATTTACAACTCTATCCTCTGTTAGCTTTTGTTGGCAAAACAGGGCTTTATCTTATACTTCATTCTGTGAATTAATTCTTTTGATAAAAACTTTTAAATTTAAAAAATATTTTTAAAAAATGATAACCTTCCCTTTTTTTTGGTAAAATCTAGTTTTAGAATAAAAGACTCTGCAATGTCTCCTTCCCTCTTCGTTACCTCCATAAAATAAGTATCACTAAAATCATTTCAATATAAATTCCATGACCATTGAACAATGAACATATTTAATATTAAGTAACCATAATAGTAAAAATATTTCATATTCGAGCAAAAAATAATCCTTAATAATACCTTAATGTCAAAAGCAGCTCCATTTTCAATCAGTTTCCTTATATGGTGAAAAATGAGAAAAATATTGGAAAATTTTTCAACTATTTTGTAGATATTTGCTTTAAATTGTAACCTCTAACATTTTATAGATCCAATTAAAAAAACTTTATTGTTGAAGGAACTGAATTTTTGTAAAAAATTCTAATTTTCTGATATCCATATCGTTGCAACCTAATGGTGTAAACCTTTCAAACTTAATCTACTTTATTTACATTTACATTTTGAAATATTAAAGGTTTACGACATCGGGTTACAAAGATATATGCATTAACAAATCTGCAAGCTTGTGGCAAAACTCAACGAACAGTTTAGAGTGAATAACTCAGATTTGTTAAAAAACTCAAATCTAGAAAAATGACAGTTGTGTTTTCCAAACTACTTTTAGTCATTTTCTATCCCTGACAGCAGATTCATTTTTCTTCTTTGCTGCCAGGTAGAGAGGACTGACCGTGCTGCTACAATCCAGGCAGTTCACATCAATACCCTCACAACCTTCATGGTGTTAGACATAGGTTTATAACTATACAGATAGACAAATATCTATCGTATTTTCAAGATTTAAGTGCTTTTCGTTCACAGTAATCCTTATGTAGAAGCCAAAACGAGTTACGCGTATGCAGCGCTGAATTTTAAGACATAGAGAGTGCATGCGCGTAACTCCTTTGAGCTTTTGACTTAGTGTTATTGTGAACGAAAAAATGCCTAAATCTTGAAATGACGACATCTAGTGTTCGATCTGTATTGTTATTAATCTATGCGCTAAACATACAAAGGGATTGATGAGATAATTACTCCATTTAACGAGAAGCTTGTTCATTGTCCAATTCCCCCCTTAAGGTTACTGAATATGAAAAACCAATGAATGAAAAAAAACTCAATTTCAGTTCGAAAAACAATGATATCTCATTCATTCTTGATCAATTTTCAAGGGTTTTGAACCGGACTATCAACATTAAAATTGCAGGGATCTCTTGAAATTAACATCTTTATTATTGGCCCTTAATTATGTTGGATTTCTTGAGACTTGTTACAGATACAAATAATTTATATTTCTCAATTTTTGGATTTTTACACTCTATAAAAAGATTTAAGCAACTGCAATTCGCAAAATGTATTGCAGAAAAAAACTTCAGTTTTCCAATACACCAATATGTCGAGTCACATGAAAAAACACGTACACTCCCTTTTACGTAATTAATAGATTAATAGATTGATAAATTGATTGATTATTACCAAGAAGAATGTCTAAACACTGTAAATGATTGTCTGTAGGATTATCAGCAACTAGATGAAGAGCAGTATATCCTCGTTTCAATCTTCCAGAGCGGGAGTTCACATCAAACTCAGTCCTAGAAGACAGTAACCGAACTTTAATTTCCTACCCCCTATTTCTTTGTAACGTTATGGTGTAAACCTTTGATGTAGATTATTCATCGGTTGAAATATCAAAGGTCTACAACATTGCAAGTTTCTCAGATTATAAGGATCAGAAAATTTGAGTTTGTGGTGAAAAATCAATTCATTTAAATACATTTATAGGAACTGTCGTTTCAAGTAACCTTTCATTTAAAAGAGGGCTTTCTAACGGTTTTCGTTAAACCTGTACTGGACCATTCTTTAAGGGAATTCTTGAGTACCTCGGGGGTAACAAATTCATTTTTTTTTCGAAATTATAATTTTTTTTACAAAAATAATTTTTTAGTTCATTTTTTAAAAATTCCACGGGCAACGCTGGGCACTTCAGCTAGTTGTTTTAATGCAAAAATGTGGAATAATCAACGTTCATATAGCGTTTAAAGCTTTAAGGGAGTGGACACGAAAGACAAAGAGGGGGTTATTATACTAGCCCAAAACTCAATTTTTTAAACCAACATTAAACCTTTTAAAAGAAATTTAATGATAACTGTTCTCCAAGTATCCTTTAATTCTGTATCTTGTGAATACAAATAAAATTAAGTAACAAAAGCGTTGTCAGGAGATAAAAGTAAAAATTATGAATAAAACGTTACAATAAATGTGCTTGCCAGCCGGATCGCTTCACGTACGAGTGTGCTAGAGAGTCGGGAAACCCGTCGGTTGCAGGGTGCAATTTAAACTACCCTTTCGTGTACCCTTTATGCTGTATTATTATGTATCCAAAGCAGAATTATTTTGATAAATCTAGTTTATGAATATTAATAATTTTTCTATCAGTTTCCTGCAGTAACTGTGGAAAAGTGTACTGGGTAAGCGATTTTATCAATAGAGTGAAGACGTATTTAGATTTCAATTTTGATTAATAATAAGCTTTTAAACAGTAAGGATACAGGATACACATTAACATGGAAACAAAGAGAAGCTTCTCTTTGAGTACTTGAAAGCTTGCAATTCGAAAAAAATAGAAAATAGGATTCGTAATGAAATCCGGGTCCAGAGAGCACTCAGCATTCACAAAGTCTATACCTTGAGTTGTCAATGAAGAGTTTAACAATCTCGTGTTTACCAAGAAGGACGGCACGGTGCAATGGCGCATATCCTAAATCAAGACTGTATATTAAGATATTCTGGATGCGCTTCAATGTGATAGAAATGTCGTTTTTGTTTAAATGAAGAGTTAAAATCCTCATGAAATAATAAATTACTAGCTCTGATTTAGCTTCGATTTCCTAAGCTAACTAGGTGAGGTCGTCGTAGCTGAACAAAGCTATAAAATGTCTAACAAACCAAACAAATGTTGCTGGCAAGGTTTTCTTCACTGGTCAGCTGTAAAAAGCGGAAAAAAACTCCCCCCCCCCCCCTCCTTTTACCAGCATCGTTGTCACATACATTTTAAGTGTCCAATGCTATGGAGACGACATTTTTAATACATTGGATTGGTTGGAGTGCATCCAGAATATCTAACCTTACTTTACAACCTTGCTTTAAACACAATTTAACTGTTGCACTTTATCATTGATTTGATAAATATGGTTAAAGGTAATATTTAAACATAAAAAAATAAGGCTACCTAGATTAGAGCTTAAATACTAGTAATAAGACAAATTATTCATTATAAATATACAAACACATGACTTTAGTTTACAAAAGACTTCTTGTGTATAAACTAATATTTGATTATTCAGAAAAATGAAAAAACTAATTTTTTTAAAACCAAACTATTACAAATCTTTTAGACGATTTTGAAAAACTTTAGATTTTTTAACCAAACAAACGATTTTTTCGAACTAACTTTAGTAAACAAAAGTTTTTTTTACAGAAAGAATGCTTATTTTAAACAAAATTTTTAAAAAACAAACGTCTTTTACTGACAAAGCAATTTTATTGAATGCACGATATTTTTGAACAAACGATTTTAATGAACGATCGTTCAGTGAGAATGCAAACAAAATAGATGGAAAGCGAGCAATAATTTGTAGAAAAAAACAAAATTCTTTTTTTTTGAAAAAATAGGGTTCAAGGTTGTCCTGTTCAACAACGATTGTGAAAAAGGCTCTGTATTTCTCAGGAAGGAAAGATGACCGAACTTAATAAATTTATAAATGTGTTCTATTTTAGTTCTATTTCACTTCTAGGAATACGGAAACAACGCTAGCATACCAGGCTAATGTTGTAGAAGAGAATGCATGTGTTTAGTTTGAGAAGACATAATCAATATTGGAATTAAGCCAACCGTCTACCGGAATGGGGGGGGGGGGGTTGTGTCCCCAGTCAGACCCCAAAAAAACGGTGAAATAAGAAAAATGGTCCATGCTATTCTGATAGCACGATTAATTATCGGAGAAATTAAAAAAATGCACTATCAAAAACAATTTCTAAAAATTTCAGATTATTGCACCTTAATAGATTCTAGTACAATAGATGGCAATGTAGAATTTGTACACTCTCAGTACAGCTGTATTCTGTCGTCACAAGTGTCATTTCAGTTTTTGTGTCCGACAAAATCATCAATAATAGTGATAATTTTAGAATAAAGTGCTTTTCTTACAGTAAAATAAGTGCAATGTTATGTGTTCTTTAGTTTCTGTTTTTACACTTTTTTATTTAATCTTGGAAAACATGTCAACTAATATGAAAAAATTTCGCTTTCCTTGTTATATTTGACACTTGTGACGTCGTGTATAATTGGTTAATTTCTCTGTTGCCACCTATTGTACTTGATAATCTATTTGATTGCACCTAATTTTTTGGGAAATTTTTATGTTGCCTTCAGATAAAAATTTGGCTAAGCTAAGGCCAAATAATATTCGTGTTATTTTTGATGTTTTTGGGGAGTTTTCAAAATCTTTGATCGATTTTTGAAATAAGAATACAATTTTAAAGATTTTTTTTTTGGGGGGGGGAGGGGTGTGTGTGTGTAGTACTTTCACTGATAATAAATCGTTTGATCAGATTTGTGAATTTTTTTAATTAGATTCATTATTGTTGGGTCATTTCTGATAAGGTCAATTGCATTAAGCCAAGGTTATAATGCAAGAAAATTTATTTCAGAGGTGCATCGCATCTTTTGTGTTGCAGTGTACTGCCTCTGGGCGGTAATGTAAACACAAGACGGATGTCACAGACTGACATGGGATCCATCTTTCATATAAAAATCAATGAAATATTCTGATCATAGAAAACTATTATGTGAATTATCAAAATTTTCAAAATTCAATGCTTTTATCCTCCTTGGATATTAAACGACCACTGATGATGCATCTATACTTGTTTACAAATTCCGCCCAGAGAGAACTGGTTTCAATAGGTACGCAGAGTAAACTCAACTGCAATTAACTTTCCTTGCATTACAACCTTGCTTAAANTATTGTATTGAGTAGATGAGAATGTACACCTAGACGAACCTGTTATTGTATTGAGTAGATGAGAATGTACACCTAGACGAACCTGTTATTGTATTGAGTAGATGAGAATGTACACCTAGACGAACCTGTTATTGTATTGAGTAGATGAGAATGTACACCTAGACGAACCTGTTATTGTATTGAGTAGATGAGAATGTACACCTAGACGAACAAGAGTTCTAATAAACTCAAGATTATCTTCTTCAACACAGAGTTCTACCAGGTTCAAACTTTTCTCACTCTAATTTGTAAGAATATTAATTATTATTGATTAACAATAATATTTCGCTTTTTTAGGTGAAAGTTTCAATCTAATGTAATGAAAGCAAAGATAATATATATATATATAGATACGCTGGCAGGTAGAAATTTTGAGGTCTTGAGAAAAAGTGCAATCAGCACCATCTCTGTCGTACGCATGGCATTTTATCCTCTGGATTGTTGCTAATTTATCACTTTGTTTATGCGTGATAACACTAAATGCGTACTATAGTATCAACAATGTATACTGCATATTGTACTTAATGAAACAAATTAATCAATGCAAATAAAACTGAGGTAGGAATTTGACTAGACAAAGTTTAAATGTGCAAGTTGTACTGAATGGCATACGTAAATTAACGCAATTTAAATAAAAATTATGACTAAAAAGTACATCGAATCTAGGACAAAGTCCTAATAGCGGACAGGATCCGGTCGAACAATACATCCCATTCAACACTACTATGGTCGGTTGCTCCTGGCTCTTCATGGCTCAGAACTGGCTCATCACCCCCTTAACCCCAAAAACTCAAAATGTAACATGCACATGTAGCTGTTCTTTTTGATTGCATTGTCAGGGCGAAAAATTAGTTTTCTGCTACAAGCAATTTAGGAAGGAGGTTTCTACCTGCCAGCGTATCTATATATATATTATCTTTAAATGAAAGTTAGTTCAGAGTCAAACAAATATGTTTTTGTACTGTACTGTACTGTACTGTACTGTAAAATTGATAATTTGGCTTATATTTTTTCCCGCAGTAGAAATGTGCAAGTCATTTTTGTAAAGAAAGAATAATCAATTCTCACAATTATAAACATTAATATCTAACTTGGACTTGATCCAACGACGCTTTTGAGGGTACCGTAGTAAATCGGGCAATGCCATCCTTGCATTGAGGGTCACTTAAAATTATGCACAAAGTCACTTTAATACCTTTATTGGAGAGTAAATCCAGGACACCTGATCTCTCACACCTTCTTCTACATCCTTAACATAAACCTTGACAAATTTTACAATTTATTATTTTTATATGTCTATATATAAAAAGTTGTTTTCTCTGTTCGTGTGTCTGTTTGTTTGTTGGTCCAATCATAACTCAGAAACCCCTCGACCGATTTGCATCAAATTTTGATGTGGGAACTCTACGGGAATGTTCTTAGCTTGAATCAATAACTCTAAATTGAGTGGGACTTTTAGAGGGAAAAATAGCTAAAATTGTAATTTACGACAAAGCGCGGGTAAGCGGTGGAACTAGCAATGACTACCTTGGGCAATGCTGGGTTCCGAAGCTAGTTTTATTTATTGGTACAAGAAATATAGAAAAAGTCTATTTTAATTTTTCTTGTCGTTATTTTCTTTGTAAAATTTTCCATATGAATTGGTTGTATCGAGTTTCATACTTCTGTTAACTACCTTGTTACAATGAATCAAATTAATTAAATGGAATGCAAAATTGAACATTTCGTTGACGAAAACGTTAATAAAGTCACGAAGTGTTCATGAAAAAATTCTGAACAGTTGAAAAGAATTAAATTAATCTTTGTCTCTGCTTAAGATGCAGCTCAATACTTGATCCCAAGATTCTCAACACACAAGTACTGAATTCAGTTAAAAAAACTAGTAGAACTTTTTTCTACCTTTGTATTGAGTATATCAGTAAACGCCTGTAGATCATTTCCTTTCAATGCCACCAAAGCACCAATCTAGAAGTAAATATTATTATATTAAAAAAATCAAACAAGTCAAAAATGTTTAGATATATACGTCTAAAATTGTTAAAACGGAAGAATCCAAAAATGTTGCTTATCTAAAAATGTAAGAAGAAGGAGAATATATCTACTCCCCCCTCCCCCGGCCTTACCCCCTCCTATCCAATGCTCCTATGTAAAATATTTCCATGACTTTATAAAAATCAAACAAGTCAAAATATTTAGAAATGTGTCTAAAATTGAACCCCTAATTCAAAAATGTTGCTTATCTATAGAAGAGAAAGAATACCCCCCCCCCC